CAACGATTTAACAAGACTGAATGCATTTAACAATGTTTCGAGAATATTGCGGCCACTCACAGAAAAATCATATCAAGCGACACTGTTTTTATTAAAAGTTCAAATCCTTCTTCGGGTTCTTGTTCAAGATATGATAGATATAAAATATGTAAAATATTCGTATTCAGTAACAGAACACATAATATACTGCCGGGCAAAAGAAAGTATACACTCATGTTTGATGGTAGCTAAGTGGGTGAGTACACAGAAAAACGATCGTTTAGCGATTAAACGGTAAACAAAACGGAAAAATGTCTCCTCTTTTAAAAAGCGTTTAGCGTTTTGTTTCTGAACACCACTTGTTAGTTTCTAAACACCAACGTTAAGGTTTCTAAATATGCATGTTTAGTTTCTAAACATCTTGTATTAAACACTATGCGTTTAGAAAACTAAACGCTGAAATGTCTCCACTTTTAAAACGCGTGTAGCGTTTAGGCCCGTTTAGTGCCTAAACATTCGCCTGTTTAACTGAATTAAGCTAGAATCAATATCATATGATGTCTTCATATCTATAAAAAGTACATAACTGGGATATACACATTTTTAACAAAAGAAAAGTAGAATTAAACATTTTATTTTGCCATTGGGAAACATGTCAATCTAGTCAAGTCAATCATGCATGCTTCAACTTTCTTCAAGAAGTGAACACGTTTTTGGGGTTTTAAACCACAGGTTTCCTTGAAAAAGAGTTCTTGCATAACACCTAACATCTGTGCATACTGCCTGGGGTAATCCAGCCAAGCTACATAGTATATGGCCAGCAGCTGGACCACTGCCTTCCTGAAGTTCCTTATGACAGGAAGGTTTACCCCGTCGGCATGTATGATTGCCTCAGTTATCCGGTTGTCGTTTACAAAGATCTGAAGCATTGGCCCTACTGGCAACTTTGTTTTCTCGGCTTCCTCGTCAATTTGTTTAGGAGACAACGCCTGTAACCAACATATATGCGTGATAAAATATGATAATAATAATAATAAAAATAATAATGATATCATACCTAATATTTCTAAAAAAAAATTCATGACATTTGTAAATCAGTATAATAAAGAAAAGAATAACCTTAATCAATACACGCACTGATCTAAAATAAAGTTACTACCGCCCCCAGCAATTACCTTTAATCAAGTCTTACAAATAACTCTTTACATGCCGAAAATGTCTAATCTTTGTAAAATGAAATAGAATAGACAAAAGACGGTGAAAGAGTAAAAGACACCTGATATTTCCAATATTGAGGTGCTTTTCGCGCTTCGGCCCCTGTCATACCCTGTTTCCCTCACCATATAGCGAAACGCCTCAATATCTTCCATTAGTTCCTGCAAAAGTTCCTGCAAAAGTCAAAGCATGAAATTATTTTCTAAATGGACGTTTAATACGCCAGTTCAATAATTAAAATGAATAGTGATCATTTCCTATATAAAGTTGTAGTTATTTTGCTAATCTAAAATAATGTGTTTTAGTCTTACATCAGCTTCGTCAGTGGGGGGGCATGACTTCCTTCACGGCGTTGAATAAATCATTTGTTGATTTTTCCACTGACCTCCAAATTTCCGCACCTTTCATAAATTTGATCTCCATGAAAATCTGCAATGTATGAAATAATAGATGTATGTTTAGGTTCCTGAGCTTATGGTACATAAATATATCAGCATAAAAATTAAGTGAAGTGGTCAGGGTGGGCATTGTTGTTTGCCAGAGTAAAATAAAACATGCAGAGCTTGTGTTTCTTCACATGTGTCCCCAAAGGATTCATTATTTCTATATCGTCCGTATGAAGTATGACTTGTAGGGCGTTTTTGTGAACGGATATAATTGGATGAGATTTTGCGTAAGCGCCATCACAGATATCTCTCTTTATTCCAGAAGATAAAGAGTGAGCATTATTAACCCAGTGCCAAATTTCGGGCATTGAGAGCAATGACTCGAGTTGTTGCTCAAATGGAATATACATTCCATACTGGGGCCTTCTCTTTGATCATGTACCGACATATTCCGTTTTATGACCTAGATATACCTTTTGTGGTCCCACAAACATACCTATGTTTTTGTATTGCTTTTCCCGTAAATGCTGTGTTGTGAGATTGTCAAAGTCTATTGTATCAGTTGTCGTTTGAGCATTTTGTAAATTTTGGGAAAGTAAATGCTGTGTTTCAGCAATAACACAGTTCACAGTGTTTTCTGAAAGCTTGTGTTTCGTTTGCAGTGCGAGAACATAATTTATCTCAGTGAACTCTTTCAAAGAAAAGGGGTATTGTACATCTTGCTCATTTTCATGCATAAAAAGATCCGTTTCGTTCAAACCGTTTTCATCATCTATTGTTTCCTCGCCTTCCTGAATATCAATTTGGGATTTTGCATGTTTTCTATTCATATGTTTTTTGAAAGCCAACAAACTTTTTGTAGAATACGAGCAAGATGCTGCAGTTCATGTCACAAGTTTCGGTCATGTTTGTGATATCGGGCAAGGCGTTGTTCATAGTTTTAAAGGATTACTTGTGGCGTAGAAACACATTGAACAAGTAAAATTATCCATTCTTTCCATAACATAAGAATGAGGACAGGCAAAAACAAGTTTTTCTGTGATAGACCTACAAGACCATGCACCCCACCAGAGAATAAATTCGACAAGTAGCAACACCGCTGCTTTCTTATCAACGTCAAATGCATTGTATTTACAAAAAAATGTATGTAAATCTTCATACTACATATCCCTACATCGTACTGATCAAATGTATTGCCTTAGATGTTGACCAAATATCCGTCAAGGGTAAAAGGACGCGTCGAAAGGGCAAGGTCACAGGCGGGATAACTCTTAATCTACACATTAGTCGTTTAGAAACTAAACAGGTGATGAGCCTTAAATCATACGAATGACGAATGTGTCCAAAACTATTTATTCACTTTAGTTTATGTTAAAATAGAGACAGTACCACTTGTTTCTTTAATATGATAACTTCTGAGATATTTTGTAAATATAAACGATATGTGTTTCGAAACTAAACCACTATGTTCATATACATATAGAAACTAAACTATGACGCTTAGAAATTAAACATGCATGTTTAATCAAACTAAATACACTTCGTTTAGAATGGTGGCGTTAGAAATTCAAACTAATTTTATAACAGCTACACAATAGAAAATGCAGTAACTGTTGTAGAAGTCCGCTGTATGTTAAGATATGTGTTGGGTTATTTGTATGGTCACTGAGCGTATTTTTTATACTGGGATCTATCTGTTGCTTAAATCACCCTAGAAAGAGTAAAATCGTAAAGATTTCAGTGAAGAGGTTATATTTCCGACATCTATATCCATAGTATTTCCTCTATTATTAATATTTTGTTAATTTGAAATAAGATCTAAACACCCATTTGTTATAGTGTATGGTTTTACGCCGCTTTTAGCAATATTCCAGCAATATCATATCGGGGGGACCAGAAATGGGCTTCACACATGTCGGGAATTTGAACCAGGGTCTTCGGCGTGGCGAGCGAACGCTTTAACCACCTGGCTACCCGACCGCCCCTTGATGGTTGGTGGCTAAACATGATACAAACAAGAAATGGTTATTCAATGGTGATTTATTTGATACGGGCTTTCCTCTCACATTAAGCCGACACGCCATGATATAACTGTAATACTGTTAAAAGGGGCGTTAAACCCAACTCACTCACTCATTCAAATGCAATATTTATGATAATTGTTGGGTAACGTATCAAATATAAAAAATATGCTAAATAGCATGTATCTCGATATTTCTTTCCAAACATTTTCTGAGTCTAGTAGTATGTTTCTTTATTTTGTACAAAAAATACAGACTGATGTCTTAAAAACATCAAAGCTTCCTTAGGATTTGGTTCAAGACATGAAAGAAATTCAAACACACACACACACACACACACACACACACACACACACACACACACACACACACACACACACACAATCTCATAATATCGATCATTTAGGCCACGTTATATAGATTGAGGGGCGGTCGGTTAGCCTAGTACTTGAAGCGTTCGCTCGTCACGCCGAAGATCCGGGCTCGATTCCCGACATTGGCACAATGTGTGAAGCCCATTTCTGGTGTTCCCCGTCGTGATATTGCCGGAATATTGCTTAGTGCGGCGTTACACAACAAACAAACAAACAATACTTATTTTCGTAGTATCAGTCAGGTTCAGCGTTGTTGAATAGTGACACAATCATCTCGGAAACTGGTATATACACTCAACATAAGGACAACTCCGTTAACCCCCTGGATGATATTTGGACATATATGTCCCTACACAAAACGCATATTCAATGCGTTTGCCTAGCTATAAACTACTGATATTCACGTTAATTTTACAATATTTACTTAGTTACTTCGTTTTTGAAGTTTTGCAGTTTTTACAATGTCACTCGCAAATAAACTCGGGACAGCGATAGTGCACAGGCTATTTTTATGTGGAAGCCAGAGAGTTAAAACACCTTTTTTATTCGCTTAGCTGGAAATGATCGGTGTGGATGCCAATTCGAAGTTTGACACTCAATGAACGAATTTGATTGCCAGAGAACGCGGGAAGGTCCCGATCATGAGTGAGTAACTATTTCATTCCTTTTAATAATCTACTAATCTGTACAGTGGAGCAAAGACGTGTATACGTCTTTGAGTGGAGGGAATGATCTATCTATCTATCTATCTATCTATCTATCTATCTATCTATCTATCTATCTATCTATCTATGAATAATTATTATTTTAAGATATCTTAAAATATAGAATAAATAGTAAAGTGACGACTCGTTAAATATGACAGCATAAGGCGTGTGGTCAAATTAATAGTCTAAAAATTACTATAAATATTCACCTCTTGGAACGCCATCACAATTTAAGTAATCCGCAAAACAAGAATCATAATCTCATTTAACTGCATGTACACACATTCACGAAGATAGATTCAAGGGAGATAACCACACCCGGAAGTGCGTGACTTGTTGCGACAAGCAGGCGAGGGAGATGTAGATCGGCGATTGCTTCATAACTAAATATCGGTCTTGCAGCACGTTGTAGCACCAGTCGCCCTAGTCAGAAGTACTTCCACCGCCATGGAGGCCTGGGCTCAACTTGTATGTACGACTGACACGGAGACACCGCCCACTGAACTGGACAAGGACAAGTTCACCATTGGACGAGCTGGAGGTGGCGATTTTTATCTTGGAAAATTTAACTGATATTGAGGTTATTAACATGATAAACTATGCTTGTGACTGTCTGTCATGTTGCTAAATGTGATTCAAAGTGACGTGCACTTTCCCAAGGATAAAGACCATTATTGCCTGAAATTGATGGTGTTGAGTAAAGGACATAGGTTCTCGATCACAATCAACTTCTCAACGTAAACACATGATATTGACATGTCACTACCGTGTGTCAACTAGTCAAGGACTTTATTTTTCTCACCCTCAGTCCTAACAGTAAATCATATTAGAAAAATGTGATAAAATATAACATTTAGCTATGGGTTTAGTGCATTATTGCCTACTGCAGTACACGTCGGACTAAATCAAAATACATTTCTTGACATCTGTGTCTCGGGACAAAGTTTTGTTTGTTTGTTAATTGTTTAACGCTGCGCTCAGCAATATTCCAGCTCAAAAAATGTCATAACGGTCACAACAAAAAAGTCATAACAGAAAATAAAGAAGACAAACTCAAGTATTGTGTCACATTAATTGTATTATATACGTTGTATGACAGTTCATAACAACACATGCACACAGATCTTAATTCAGCACTACCTCAGTGCTACAGATCACAGTTCACACATCCCTATCACTGTGTACACATCTGTAAGATAAAGGGTAAACTGTACACATCCTGCTCACATTGAATATTCATTTTTTTATTTTTTTATTTTTGGTGTGGCCATTATGACTTTTTTGTTGTGGCCATTTTAGCTTTTTGTGGATGTTTTGACAATGGGTTTGTGGCCATTTTGACTTTTTTGTGTGGACGTTTTGAGGACGTTTCGACTACAGTTTGTATCCTGCCTGCAGGTCTAATTAATATAACATGTCGACGGCATACATCACTTCGGGTTTTCTTCCCTCAATAACCTGGCATGCTGTGATATACCTGAAATATACCCGTGCTTGTCATGAGAGACGTCTAACGAGATTGGGTTGTCAGACTCGCTGACTTGGTTGAAGCATGTCATCGTATCCCAATGCGTGGATCGATGCTCATGATGTCTATGACTGGATTGTCTGGTCCAGACTTGAATGTTTACAAACTGCCATCATATAGCTGGAATGTTGCTGAGTGCAGCGTTAAGCAACAAACACTCACTCACACCTATCCACCTGATAACACAAACTTATAGGCCTGCACATACTTCCTACTACTCATGACCAATATAAAAGAAGGAAGAGAAATTGTCTGTTGTGAAAAATGTTGAAATAAAGTATTCTCATAATCATATCTTTTGAGAATCAGTACTCAACAAAACGATCATTTTTTTATAAACTTTGCATCAATGTGTGTTGACATAGTTGAAGACAATTCCCTAGTTTTATTTTGTTAGCACATACTTTCAAGTATTGAACATTCACAATTGTGGTCACCGTACTCATTTAGGTGTAATACTTTGTTAAAATGAAAATAACATATTGTTTAATTTGTCCAAAATTTAATTTATCTTTGGTTATGCATTTTAATTCCCAGGTAACGACATATTCCTGGCCGGCAACAAGCTTGTGTCTGGAGTCCACTGCTATATTGAGAGGGATGCATCAGGAAAAGTCTGGCTGTATGACAGCAGGTACACTTGCCCCTTCACCAGCCCCTGCGGGGACCAAGGTTACAGTCTATACCCCGGGTCTCTGCGGGGACCAAGGTTACAGTCTATACCCCGGGTCTCTGTGGGGACCAAGGTTACAGTCTATACCCCGGGTCTCTGTGGGGACCAAGGTTACAGTCTATACCCCGTGTCTCTGTGGGGACCAAGGTTACAGTCTATACCCCTGGTCACTGTGGGGACCAAGGTTACAGTCTATACCCCGGGTCTCTGCGGGGACCAAGGTTACAGTAGATACCCCGGGTCCCTGTGGGGACCAAGGTTACAGTCTATACCCCGGGTCTCTGTGGGGACCAAGGTTACAGTAGATACCCCGTTCCCTGGGGGGACCAAGGTTACAGTAGATACCCCGTTCCCTGTGGGGACCAAGGTTACAGTCTATACCCCGGGTCTCTGTGGGGACCAAGGTTACAGTCTATACCCCGGGTCTCTGTGGGGACCAAGGTTACAGTCTATACCCCGTGTCTCTGTGGGGACCAAGGTTACAGTCTATACCCCGGGTCTCTGTGGGGACCAAGGTTACAGTCTATACCCCGTGTCTCTGTGGGGACCAAGGTTACAGTCTATACCCCGGGTCTCTGCGGGGACCAAGGTTACAGTCTATACCCCGGGTCTCTGCGGGGACCAAGGTTACAGTCTATACCCCGGGTCTCTGTGGGGACCAAGGTTACAGTCTATACCCCGGGTCTCTGCGGGGACCAAGGTTACAGTCTATACCCCGGGTCTCTGTGGGGACCAAGGTTACAGTCTATACCCCGTGTCTCTGTGGGGACCAAGGTTACAGTCTATACCCCGGGTCTCTGTGGGGACCAAGGTTACAGTCTATACCCCGGGTCTCTGTGGGGACCAAGGTTACAGTCTATACCCCGGGTCTCTGCGGGGACCAAGGTTACAGTAGATACCCCGTTCCCTGGGGGGACCAAGGTTACAATAGATACCCTGGGTCTCTGTGGGGACCAAGGTTACAGTAGATACCCCGTTCCCTGGGGGGACCAAGGTTACAGTAGATACCCCGTTCCCTGGGGGGACCAAGGTTACAGTCTATACCCCGGGTCTCTGTGGGGACCAAGGTTACAGTCTATACCCCGTGTCTCTGTGGGGACCAAGGTTACAGTCTATACCCCGGGTCTCTGTGGGGACCAAGGTTACAGTCTATACCCCGGGTCTCTGTGGGGACCAAGGTTACAGTCTATACCCCGGGTCTCTGTGGGGACCAAGGTTACAGTCTATACCCCAGGTCTCTGTGGGGACCAAGGTTACAGTAGATACCCTGTTCCCTGGGGGGACCAAGGTTACAGTCCATACCCCGTGTCCCTGTGGGGACCAAGGTTACAGTAGATACCCTGGGTCCCTGTGTGGGGACCAAGGTTACAGTAGATACCCTTGGTCCCTGTGTGGGGACCAAGGTTACAGTAGATACCCCGGGTCTCTGTGGGGACCAAGGTTACAGTAGATACCCCGGGTCTCTGTGGGGACCAAGGTTACAGTAGATACCCCAGGTCCCTGTAGGGACCAAGGTTACAGTAGATACCCCGCATATGTCATTATTAATTTCCAAATTGTAATTCCCAATTGATATTGATGTTGTTACAACTAATGAGAATTTTTTAAAAATAAGAACTTTAGAAAGATAAAAAAAAAATTCCCCAATTTGCCTGCGAAGGACACATGCTTTAAAATACCAGATAACTCACTGAGGTCAACTCTGACCTTGCTAATTGTTTGTCTGTTGTTGTTATTATCCAAAGTTTTAAACTTATCCTATCTCACACTATGCATTTCTTCCTTCTTCTTTCGATCCTATGTGGAAACACACATGAACAAAGATTCCAGCTTATACAAACAAATCACCCAAATACATCCTAGCATCACCATGAGCACTACCGAAACAAATGGGTCACGCTCTATAATCCGGTGCACGACGACTGTGTAGCAACCTACACGACCAGGTCACCATCATCACTTGTTTAGCCGTGCCATACCTTCTTTCTCATCACATGTTTTTGGAATATTAATTAGCGAATACATTTTTTATTTTTTTTATTTTTGTAGTAGGCTGCCTCCTCCTTGGTAAGAACGCCTACGATACTCATGAAGGTGACCAGAACAGACGAAGTACCCAGCTTGGTACTTTATCCTTGTCGGATCCTCATGATCATTGCTGTGACTGTCATGGCCTTTGTTCATAGGACTGTTGCCCGCCTCCGTGGTCTAGTGGTAGAGCGTCCGCTCGGGGTTCAATCCCCGGCCATGTCATACCAAGAGACTTTAAAAGATGGTACTTGTTGTTACCCTGTCTGACGCTCAGCATTAACGGACGAAAACAAGGACTGGTTGGCTCGAAGTCAGTATACTGTGTCTGAGTGGAGTATTCATGTTAAACTGCAGCATGGTATCTCAGTGAGCTAGCACTATAAATCGGCATCAGTCCGGACGAGTACAAGCAGCCACACAAACACACATGTACATGCACGTCGCTATGTAAGTGCAATAATCTTGGACGCGACGTTAAACCCCATTTCACCTCACCTCATAGGACTGTTCCCAGTATTCTCACATCCTTTTGTATTTACCTATACCCATGCCATAAGCGTAATATTGATCTGCAGTCTTAATCTAAGGATGCAGAACACGGGCCTTACTCTGCTGAGATGCCCGAACATCTTACAAAGTTGGCTGCCTCATCTTCGCCTTCCCCTTCACCTACAGAAAGGATAAGCCACACCTCCCTGACCAAGATCGACTTCAACGTTTAATGGTTTGAAAGGTTGATATTAGAGGGGTCAATAGTCTACAGACCTATCGATCTCAGAAGACTGATAAGAGGCAGAATGCCATACATCTAGGTCGGTATTGTACTGATGGAGACTGTCGCACTGATTCTTCATCGTTCATCTGATTGATCTTACATTTAAGGACAGGCTCAATCTACCTCTACAGGCAGCTCTGATCACCATCGACGTTGGGACCGATCTCGATGTACCACTCAGACTCACAACGACATGTCTATCAACATTCATCTGGCAATCGACATGGACATAACGTTACTAGGAATCGACATCACGACTGGAATGGGTTACCCTCCCCTGTGGATGGATACCCCTCCCCTAAAGATCGACGTCGATGCTCTCAGCCTATGGATCACCGTTGGGATCAACATCAATACCCTCCACTTCTGGGTCGACATGGGTGACATTGACACCCCCCTCCCCATCGGAGCACATGTTCTATCTACATGTGATGTCAGCAATGTCGCTAATTTTCTGAGAAGGATTTATAACCTGCCTTAGCAATTGTGCAGCCGCTAGAAAGAGAGGATACGAGTCTAGGAAAGGATACAGTATTCAACTCTTAATGAACACTTCTTCATCGATGCCTCAACCCTAGGCTGGGTAGCTTACTTCTATGATCTGCTGATGGCATGGCACTTGTTCGTCTACGATGAGATCCTTTGTGCACCAGATCATGATCCGAAGTCTGAGCAAGGCACATTCCCAGGATCCACAATGTCGCCTGAACCCAGATTACCATGAAGACATGCCCAGTCAGAGCTCTCCTGCATCTATGTCGAGGCTCACTTTCATCCCACTTTCCACAACGGCCACCACAGAAGTCTCCTTTTGGCTTCGACTGACTCTCCCTTGGGCCTACGCTTTACCTGGATGGCTCCGACTGACTCTCCCTTGGGCCTACGCTTTACCTGGATGGCTCCGACTGACTCTCCCTTGGGCCTACGCTTTACCTGGATGGCTCCGACTGACTCTCCCTTGGGCCTACGCTTTACCTGGATGGCTCCGACTGACTCTCCCTTGGGCCTACGCTTTACCTGGATGGCTCCGACTGACTCTCCCTTGGGCCTACGCTTTACCTGGATGGCTCCGACTGACTCTCCCTTGGGCCTACGCTTTACCTGGATGGCTCCGACTGACTCTCCCTTGGGCCTACGCTTTACCTGGATGGCTCCGACTGAGTCTCCCTTGGGCCTACGCTTTACCTGGAATGCCTCCTCCTGTGACATCCAATCCACATGAGACGAGAGCCATCACCTCTACCATGGCCCTGCACAGCAATTGTACTCTGTCCGCCATTATGGAGTGTGGTGTTTGGAAGTCAGATACTGTCTTCTCTTCCCACTATCTATGTGACATCTCAGTCACTGATTTTCAGGGCCTCCATCATTTCGGTCACTTGGTCCTGGGGCAACAACATGGGTGCACACAAGTGCAAATAGACGTAGCTGTGTACCCTCTGTGGCAGCCCAGTACTCTATGTCCTGTACATGCACATTAATCTTTGGAACATCCTTCCTTTGTTTATTGTCATTATCCTGGTTCCCAGACTCAGTACCCAGTGGAGGGTGAGCTACCTCGTCTGTAGAGACTCATCATTGAAATCGTCGCAAAGCACGGCCATTTTGGGTGTGTCCCAAACACTTACCTGCTCACCTCTGCTTTAGGCACGTGATGTCTCGGTATTGGTTTGATGATCCTGTTGTCAATTGTTCCTCTTCTCGTCTCAGCATGCTTCAATCCCATGGGCGTGATTGATAGCATTGAAGAAGCGTTAAAAGCTGGCTCACCCTATTGTCCATGGGAGATAGTGGTGTGGTCTGTCTTGTAGAATTGATTGGCTGGATACCCCTTCCTAATCGATTATAAGTCGTATGCTGTGTAGATTGTTCACAGCCATGCGTTTGTTCATGGAATGATGTCATACATGAAAACATGTCACGCATGTTATACCCGCTTCCATGCTGTAACATCATACTGATGTCTAGGGATCACATCGCCTGTGATGCTGTGTTTTCTGCTGCAGTTTTAATCTACTACAGGAATGGGTATCTGTGCCCCAGCATCCAACCGTGGGATAAATGCATAGTGTGAGACAGGACAAGTTTACATTTTTATTTTTTACTTACCCATCTCACATCGTAATAAGCCCTCCTGACCATCCCACATCACAGCTCTTCCAGCCTGTTAGCCCTGGGAAAGAGAATGGTGGAACAGGGGTGTTCACATGATCAGGTCATGAGGGATGCTATGCACAGGATTACAGTGCTTGACCCATTTGACTATGGTGATGTTGTATGTGTTCGGTGACTTGTTTTTAGAAGCTGGAAACTTTGTTCAAGCGCATTTCCACATAGGATCAAAAGAGTGAGTGTGTTGGGTTTAACGCGTCTTTAAACAATATTCCAGTTATATCAGCGCATGTCAGCTTAATGTGGGAGGAAAGCCCCAAGCGATGCAGGTCTCAGATGTTTACCACTTTGGTGAAACCCACAAGCATGGGTATGGTGCTGACAAACCTAGAAACATTATTGGGGTGAACTGGGATTCCAACCCACAATCATAGGTTTCTGGCATGCCCAAGGGACGTTACTCTGCACAGCAAATCACGGTGCTTTGGACGACTGGGCCACCCGTGCCCCCAGGATCGAAAGAAGAAGGCAGAAATGCAAAGTGTGAGATAGGATGAGTATATAGATAAACAATTTAATGTTAAATTTAAGATATTTCCATGTTTTGATTTCTGTAGTTTAGTTGTTCATTTCTTGTGGTAGACACTCATAGGTTTTACCTTTCTGCAAATAATTAGAGCAACCATCATATGACAGGAATGGATACGTTTTTTCTTGGAAAACATATGCATGATACTACATTGTACTGGTGATAACAGATACATCAAAAGAATTGTGGTAACCCCAGTTCTTATGTCCCAGGAGGACAACAGAATGGGTAGCCCAGTTGTGTAAGGTGTGGCTATGTAGAGTTACCTCCCTTTCCTATGCAAGGATCCAATAATCATTGGTTCATATCCCAGATTTACTCTGATTATGATCCTTGATTTGTTTGCAGTTTCCCTGAAGTGGTAAAGGTCTACGTTTACTTATCACACACATCAAGCTGACACACCATGATATAACTGATATACTGGTCAAACTGGCATTTATCAAACTCACTCATGAAATGTTATTTCCATCATAACCTTGTGACTAAGAAACATTGCAGTTCACTTTCATCGCAGCTGACCGTGGGTTTCAGTTTGGTAAAGTGTGTATTGTGAGAGACGGACTATGTTCAATTGGAAAGTGAGTGAGTTAGGTTTAACGTTGCTTTTAACAGTATTCCAATTCTAGCTTGATGTGGGTAGAAAGCCCGAAGTGATGCAGGTCCTAGACGTTTACAAGTTTGGTGAAACCCTTAAGCAAGGGTTTGGTGCTGACAAACCTAGAAACATAGTCAGGGCGAAGCAGGATTCGAACAAATGATCGTAGGTTTTAGGTGTGCACTATGTGGGTTGGTTGGTTTGTTGTTTAACGCCGCACTCAGCAATATTCCAGCTATATGACGGCGGTCTGTAAATAATCGAGTATGGACCAGGCAATCCAGTGATTGATATCATGAGCATCGATCCACTCAATTGGGATCGGTGACATGCATCAACCAAGTCAGCGAGCCTGACCACCCGATCCCGTTAGTCGCCTCCTACGACAAGCATAGTCGCCTTTTACGCAAACATGGGTTGCTGAAGACCTGTTCTACCCTGTATCTTCAAGGGTCGTGTGCACAATGAATTGCGGCACCTAAGCCCACTGGGCCACCCGTACCCCCATTAATTGGTGTGTGTGTCATCGGTAATAGTTGATTATTCTCCACATGCAGCACCAATGGCACCCTGCTGAACATGACCCACAAGCTGACCAAAGGGGAGGTAAGTTGTCACTTTTTCGGCCATAGAATTATCTCAGTAATATCTTGTACTATGATACGATGCCTCTCTGCGGGAAGATCGGAAATCTCCTCCACAGGAGTTTGCATCAAATGAGCTATCTAATTAGCCAATGAGTGTCGAGTATTCACGTTCTTGAATAAAATGAGTGAAGCATTAAGATCAATCATATTTTACTTCTATGTAAGCTACCAATTCTGAATGTCAATAATAAAGGATGTTTGACTCAAGAACCCACTCATCCTTCATTTGGATTGGGCAATCGAAGTTCATTTATGATTCACCTCATGCAACCTTCTATTGAAGGTTTGTCAGATCTTCCCACACAGATGTATCATATGTGAGTATAAGATTGGATTTTAATATCATTGAAACATCAAGCTTGATATAAATTAACTCTTTGCCCTTCAAAGAATAAAACAGCATGTTTTTGTTTTTTTCTTCATTTCCCCTACCAAGCACATATTTAGAGATTTATCAAATATGCATTTTTAATTGCATGTTTTTTCAGATCCTATGATTTTTAAAAATTAGTGTTGACCAGTGAAGATCCAGGGTAGAATAGCTCTTCAGCAACCCATGCTTGCCGAAGAAGGCAACTATGCTTGTCGTAAGAGGTGATCAGGTGGTCAGGCTCACTGACTTGGTTGATGCATGTCATCGTACCCAATTGCATGGATCGATGCTCATGATATTAATCACTGGATTGTCTGGTCCAGACTTGATTATTTACAGCCCGCCATCATATAGCTGAAATATTGCTGTGTGGTGTTAAACAACAAACCAACCAACCAACCGACCAATTAAAATAAAAATAGAAACTAAGAAATTATTCTGGTGTTGTCATGGTTACCAATACTACCCCTCAAGCACACACACATAGGGAATCCCCTGTCTTTGTCTCACATTATGTGCTTGTAATGTTACGTTATGTTATTTTTATTGCAAGTAGGCGTCACAACAATCCATAGAGCTTACTATAAGTAGTCCTTGGTAGGTGGCCTCATTTGCATAGTTTTTGGATTGTAATACTTTGTTTACTTGATTGTTTTATTGCAGCAAAGACACAATCTAAAATATGTGACCTGTTTGAAATAGGGTTTTAATATCAGGGTAGCATTGACAGTTGCTTGTGCTATCAACCACTGGCCTGCCTGGCGGGGAATCACTTACTCGCTGCTAGGGCTGGGACGGGTAACTCGGGTACCCGCTACCCACAGGACTACCCGGACCCGTGGTTATTCATGTGATATATTATTTAATGACGAAAATAAATGGAACTCTAAAGTTACACTACAAGTCATCAATGGTCGCATTTCTTTCTGAATATGCACCCATTCCTTTTCATATGGTTGAATAAAGATATAACTTAAGTCAATTCAGTGTATGCATGACCAGATCGCTTAAAACATGTATCTAAATACGTTTTGCAAGTGCTGTGGTAAAAAATTCCCAATTGAACGTTTTGTATCTCTTGAGACCTACAGTGGGAACCTGGGAGGGTCGGGTAATAGGGGGCTGGGTACCCGGGTAGGGTCGGGTAACAGGGGGCTGGGTACCCGGGTAGGGTCGGGTAATAGGGGGCTGGGTACCCGGGTAGGGTCGGGTAACAGGGGGCTGGGTACCCGGGTAGGGTCGGGTAATAGGGGGCTGGGTACCCGGGTAGGGTCAGGTAACAGGGGGCTGGGTACCCGGGTAGGGTCGGGTAATAGGGGGCTGGGTACCCGGGTAGGGTCAGGTAACAGGGGGCTGGGTACCCGGGTAGGGTCGGGTAATAGGGGGCTGGGTACCCGGGTAGGGTCGGGTAATAGGGGGCTGGGTACCCGGGTAGGGTCAGGTAATAGGGGGCTGGGTACCCGGGTAGTAAATTTGGACCCTAATTACTGCCCATAGTGATGCAGCTAGCATGTTGACGGTGACAACATTTAGTCAGGACTGGAAATGTGTTTGCAGTGTCGGCAGCTACAACATGGGGACGAGTTCCACGTCGTGTACAAGAAGAACAATGAAGAACTCAGTAAGTGCATGTTCTCTGGTCATTGGGTTGGGTGCCGCTTTGGTCATGGTGTTTGTGATGGTTGCAGATATAATGCAATTTTGTTTTTCAATTTCGTTGTGCTATTGAATATTTGATACATTTCCAGGTTTTCAGTACTCAAATGTGAAATTTTGTTTTTCTCCTGACCCAAGAAGTGTTTGTGATGGTTGCAGATATTGGGTACTTGTATCAGGATCTGCAGGAACTTGCCAGGGAGGAACAGGAAGAACTGGAGGGCACCGAGGAGTACCACCACCGGCCCAATCCTGATGCCACTCTAGTGGGTGAGTCTATAGTACCACCACCAGCCCAATCCTGATGCCACTCTAGTGGGTGAGTCTATTGTACCACCACCAGCCCAATCCTGATGCCACTCTAGTGGATGAGTCTATAGTACCACCACCAGCCCAATCCTGATGCCGCTCTAGTGGGTGAGTCTATTGTACCACCACCAGCCCAATCCTCATGCCGCTCTAGTGGGTGAGTCTATTGTACCACCACCAGCCCAATCCTCATGCCGCTCTAGTGGGTGAGTCTATAGTACCACCACCAGCCCAATCCTGATGCCACTCTAGTGGGTGAGTCTATTGTACCACCACCAGCCCAATCCTGATGCCGCTCTAGTGGGTGAGTCTATTGTACCACCACCAGCCCAATCCTGATGCCACTCTAGTGGGTGAGTCTATTGTACCACCACAATCCCAATCCTGATGCCGCTCTAGTGGGTGAGTCTATTGTACCACCACCAGCCCAATCCTGATGCCACTCTAGTGGGTGAGTCTATTGTACCACCACCACCAGCCCAATCCTGATGCCACTCTAGTGGGTGAGTCTATTGTACCACCACCAGCCCGATCCTGATGCCACTCTAGTGGGTGAGTCTATTGTACCACCACCACCAGCCCAATCCTGATGCCACTCTAGTGGGTGAGTCTATTGTACCACCACCACCACCAGCCCGATCCTGATGCCACTCTAGTGGGTGAGTCTATTGTACCACCTCCAGCCCAATCCTGATGCCACTCTAGTGGGTGAGTCTATTGTACCACCACCAGCCCAATCCTGATGCCACTCTAGTGGGTGAGTCTATTGTACCACCTCCAGCCCAATCCTGATGCCACTCTAGTTGGTGAGTCTATTGTACCACCACCACCCGCCCAATCCTGATGCCACTCGAGTGGGTGAGTCTATTGTACCACCACCAGCCCAATCCTGATGCCCCTCTAGTGGGTGAGTCTATTGTACCACCACCAGCCCAATCCTGATGCCACTCTAGTGGGTGAGTCTATTGTACCACCACCAGCCCAATCCTGATGCCACTCTAGTGGGTGAGTCTATTGTACCACCACCAGCCCTATCCTGATGCCACTCTAGTGGGTGAGTCTATTGTACCACCACCAGCCCAATCCTCATGCCACTCCAGTGGGTGAGTCTAGTGTACCACCACAAGCCCAATCCTGATGCCGCTCTAGTGGGTGAGTCTATTGTACCACCACCAGCCCAATCCTGATGCCACTCTAGTGGGTGAGTCTATTGTACCACCACCAGCCCAATCCTGATGCCACTCTAGTGGGTGAGTCTATTGTACCACCACCAGCCCAATCCTGATGCCACTCTAGTGGGTGAGTCTATTGTACCACCACAATCCCAATCCTGATGCCACTCTAGTGGGTGAGTCTATTGTACCACCACCAGCCCAATCCTGATGCCGCTCTAGTGGGTGAGTCTATTGTACCACCACCAGCCCAATCCTGATGCCACTCTAGTTGGTGAGTCTATTGTACCACCACAATCCCAATCCTGATGCCACTCGAGTGGGTGAGTCTATTGTACCACCACCAGCCCACTACTCTAAAAGGTGAGCCCATTTCTTCTCTAGTGGGTGGGACTATTCTTGCTCTATCCCAATTGCGTAGATCGATGCCTGTGATATCAATCACTTGATTGTCTGGTCCAGACTCGATTATTTACAGATTGCCGTCATATAGCTGGAATATTGCTGAGTGCAGCATCAAACAACAAACAAATCTTATACCACCAGCAGCCCTATCATGGGGAGGAACAGAGCTTGTATTATTAGCAAGTGTAGGCAAGTTATTTTTGTCTATTATTTTAAATATATCATACAAGAGATGTTAGTTCTAATTATTTTATCGTATAGATGATGAGTTAAATATGGCGGACTCACCCGAGTCCAAGAAGAGACCACACCCATCAGATGAGACCACTGCTGAACCAACTCTGAAGAAACACAAGTCCGGAGACCCCCCAACTGCCAACACCACTCCTCCAGCAACTCCTGCTCTTGACAAGGACCAAGGTGAAGGTCAGTTGAAACAATAATCATATCATGACCTTGTAGACAACAATTTTGAGGGAACTCCTTGTTACAATTGTAAGACATCAATGATCAATGTGGAATGATGTATGATAACTGCCTGTCAGGAGAACCTGGAGAGAAATCAACTGAAAATGACAACATGAACTCATTTTTGGGTTGCTTTAATAGAAGCAAATCTTTGTCATTGTTTGTTGTGTCATCCATTGGAAACCACTGGCCATTAAAGCTGTAACATTCCTTCAACAGGTTCGAAGGCCTCCACAATATCCATATTGTACAACCTATTTATGAATACACAATGCCGTTTAGAAAGTGGTCAAATGTTACAAATGATATATTTGGGATAACACTTTCTTAGTAAAGTACAGATGCTCATACTTTTTGGGGTTGAGTCCCGTCCGGGATTTACACTTGTCAGAGGGGTACACAGAGTACGTGATCTAGACTACTAGTTTGTCTAGTCTTGATATTCCAAGGCTGCCAGCATACATCTGGAACAATGTTGAGGGAAGCATTAAACAACAAGCCAGTCCAAGAGCCCGGTGTCAAAGCTCTGTATCTGTACTTCTAGACAAGAAGATTGAAGAGACAGCAGTAAAAGATGGAGAGAAGGAGAAAGGGAAGAGTGAAGGGAAAGCAGCTGCTGAGGAGAAGAGTAAAGCAGAGAAAGATGCACCAGATGAGGCAGATGCAATGGGCGAGACTCTGGTGTGCATCATCTGTCAGGAAATCCTGCATGACTGCATCAGGTTCGTAATACACGTAATGCCACCAAAACGGTGTCAAGATGTTGAAATGGCTGTCAACATGCCTTGGTGGTGTGAATTGAATTGAATGGTGTGAACTGATTTTGATGAAGGAGATTAAGAGTGCTTCCAGTAGTGTTGATTCCAAACCAGACAGTCATGACAGCGGATACAGTGACACTTGAAATTGCTGTTAAAAGGATTTTTGCTAAGGGAGGAAATTTTGCACTAGAAGTATGTGCGTTGTGTTTTGTTGCAGCCTCCAGCCATGCATGCACTCCTTCTGTTCGGGATGCTACTCTGAGTGGATGGACAGATCCAACGAATGTCCTTCTGTAAGTAAACACTGGTTGGTGTTTCAAGTGCAGAGTTACTTGGGTCATTGAGCTATCATAACTCCCATACTGTTGGTTGGTTGGTTGGTTGGTTGGTTGGTTGGTTGGTTGGTTGGTTGGTTGGTTGGTTGGTTGGTTGGTTGGTTGGTTGGTTGGTTGGTTGGTTGGTTGGTAAACACCTCACTACATGACAGCAGGTCCCATACTTTAACAAAGACATAGACTTAGGACTTTGCACAAACGGTACAGTACGCATGGGATCCTGTGAAGTATTTTGCCCTGGAGTTCCACGTTGCAGTAGGTAGACCTCATAGGGGGACTCCAGGTTCACTGGCTACAACCTCATTAAGACCAGATCTTGTACTTCATAGGAGGTTGGGGGAACTTTCCAATCAGCCAATGACCATCTTAGCTTTTGAATTGTCAGCTTGAACAAAGCATCTAGAGCAGCAGATCAAGTTTCTATATGTTGAGAATAAACGTAAATGGGTAGTTCCAGATGGAGAATGGTCTGCTGTGTTGTGGATACTCCAGAAAGGTAACAATTTAGGGTAAAGGTCTGGACCCTGTTCCCAAAAGCGATCTTAGCGCTAAGTCGATCATAATTCGCATTCTTTAACGAAGACCTGTGACAATCGTAGTGTTAAGTCGATCCTAACTCCTTTTCATTACCATAGACCTACCACAATCCTACCACTAAGATCCCTTTGTGGAACGGAGTCTTGTTACCCATTTAGCTACTGTTGCCTTAATATGATTCCACATCTTGGTGAAAACCTATCTTGTCCAAGAGGAGTCCAGATTGGTACCTTCATTTATGATTGTTAGGTAGCTAGTAAAGCTTTTGAATAATGAGTTTGGTAATCATGCTTTTCACTTCAGTGTCGGTTAAAAGTCGATCGTATCAACAAGAATCACATCGTCAACAACTTGGTGGAGGCCTATTTGAAAGAACACCCAGGTACAGTCACACCATTGGAAGTATTTCAAGCAAAGTGTGTTTTTAAACGCCCACTAGTTTGTTTTGGCAGGTAATTGAGACTTGTTGAGCCCTGGCATTGAAGTTACATTTTCATACAAATTAGGTTTTTTCTGAGTAATTTTATGTCTCTAGCTCTTTGTGCCATGAAGATAAGTGTTGTTGTTTTTCTGCCAGAAGGTCTTTTATTAGCAAAGTTAGAAAATCACATAAGATGATGCACTAAAGGGCAGTCCCAACAAGGCGATGAATTGATTTCCTTTACTACCCCTTGGATTTTGGTCTTAAAACATGGCCTCTACTGCCTGATATACCATACTTTAATTGATCGTGAGAGGCAAAATAAAGCTGATGCATCTCAATGACAGCAAGGAACCAGTCTGTAGGTAAACAGGTGCAGCTCACAGGAAGGAACAGGTTGTTTATAGTGGAGGAAATTGTGTACACTGATCAGTCTACAATGTACAGATATGTGTGCGTTAGTTCATCATAGTTCCATGGTTAAAGTGTTTGGATGTTCAATTGAGAATTGACTTCAGTAGTGTTTTGCGTTCATAAAAGGCTGTGTAAATACATAAAGTGTGCGACCCTTGAGGATCTGGTTAGAATACTTGGTCTTCAGCAACCCATGACTATGCTTGTCGTAAGAAGCGAGTAACAGGATCAGATGGTCAGGCTTGCTGACTTGGTTTATCCATGTCATCGTATCCCAAATGCGTGGATCGATGCTCATGATGTCATTCACTCGAATGTCTGGTCCAGAATCAATTGTTTACAGACTGTCGTCATATAGCTGGAATATTGCTGAGTGCGGCTTTAAACAACAAACAACAAAATGTGCACACCGTTTTTTATGTTAATACCTCCATGAACATTAAATAATATCGAAGTCAATTCTGATAAATGAAGAAGTCAACAATATTAACTTCACAGAATAGTTATTTTATCATTAAGATAAACACTTTAGACAACAGCGTAATCAGTGACTTCAATCAGTGCAATAATGCAACAGAAACCCCACTCACTCTATTATAAGCCAGTTAGGAAACAGTAGTCCGCTGGAATAACGATACCAACACAACACGTCACTGCTGACCACTCACAGACCAACACAACACGTCACTGCTGACCACTCACAGACCAACACAACACGTCACTACTGACCACTCACAGACCAACACAACACATCACAGCTGACCACTCACAGACCAACACAACACATCACTGCTGACCACTCACAGACTAACACAACACATCACTGCTGACCACTCACAGACTAACACAACACATCACTGCTGACTACTCACAGACTAACACAACACGTCACAGCTGACCACTCACAGACCAACACAACACGTCACTACTGACCACTCACAGACTAACACAACACATCACTGCTGACCACTCACAGACTAACACAACACGTCACTGCTGACTACTCACAGACCAACACAACACATCACTACTGACCACTCACAGACCAAGACAACACGTCACTGCTGACCACTCACAGACCAACACAACACATCACAGCTGACCACTCACAGACCAACACAACACGTCACTGCTGACCACTCACAGACTAACACAACACGTCACTGCTGACCACTCACAGACCAACACAACACATCACAGCTGACCACTCACAGACCAACACAACACGTCACTGCTGACCACTCACAGACTAACACAACACGTCACAGCTGACCACTCACAGACTAACACAACACGTCACTGCTGACCACTCACAGACCAACACAACACGTCACTGCTGACCACTCGCAGACCAACACAACACATCACTGCTGACCACTCACAGACTAACACAACACATCACTGCTGACCACTCACAGACTAACACAACACATCACTGCTGACTACTCACAGACTAACACAACACGTCACAGCTGACCACTCACAGACCAACACAACACGTCACTACTGACCACTCACAGACTAACACAACACATCACTGCTGACCACTCACAGACTAACACAACACGTCACTGCTGACTACTCACAGACTAACACAACACGTCACAGCTGACCACTCACAGACCAACACAACACGTCACTGCTGACCACTCACAGACCAACACAACACGTCACTGCTGACCACTCACAGACTAACACAACACGTCACTGCTGACCACTCACAGGCTAACACAACACGTTACTGCTGACCACTCACAGACCAACACAACACGTCACTGCTGACCACTCACAGGCTAACACAACACGTCACTGCTGACCACTCACAGACTAACACAACACGTCACTGCTGACCACTCACAGACCAACACAACACGTCACTGCTGACCACTCACAGACTAACACAACACATCACTGCTGACCACTCACAGACCAACACAACACGTCACTGCTGACCACTCACAGACTAACACAACACATCACAGCTGACCACTCACAGACTAACACAACACGTCACTGCTGACCACTCACAGACTAACACAACACATCGCAGCTGACCACTCACAGACTAACATGACACATCACTGCTGACCACTCACAGACTAACACAACACATCACAGCTGACCACTCACAGACTAACACAACACATCACAGCTGACCACTCACAGACTAACACAACACATCACAGCTGACCACTCACAGACTAACACAACACATCACTGCTGACCACTCACAGACTAACACAACACATCACTGCTGACCACTCACAGACTAACACAACACATCACAGCTGACCACTCACAGACCAACACAACACGTTACTGCTGACCACTCACAGACCAACACAACACATTACTGCTGACCACTCACAGACCAACACAACACGTTACTGCTGACCACTCACAGACTAACACAACACGTCACTGCTGACCACTCACAGACTAACACAAAACATCACAGCTGACCACTCACAGACTAACACAACACATCACAGCTGACCACTCACAGACTAACACAACACACCACAGCTGACCACTCACAGACTAACACAACACGTTACTGCTGACCACTCACAGACCAACACAACACGTTACTGCTGACCACTCACAGACTAACACAACACGTCACTGCTGACCACTCACAGACTAACACAAAACATCACAGCTGACCACTCACAGACTAACACAACACATCACAGCTGACCACTCACAGACTAACACAACACACCACAGCTGACCACTCACAGACTAACACAACACATCACTGCTGACCACTCACAGACTAACACAACACATCACACCTGACCACTCACAGACTAACACAACACGTCACAGCTGACTACTCACAGACTAACACAACACATTACAGCTGACCACTCACAGACTAACACAACACACCACAGCTGACCACTCACAGACTAACACAACACATCACTGCTGACCACTCACAGACTAACACAACACATCACACCTGACCACTCACAGACTAACACAACACGTCACAGCTGACCACTCAGAGACTAACACAACACGTCACTGCTGACCACTCACAGACTAACACAACACATCACAGCTGACCACTCACAGACTAACACAACACATCACTTACCACTCACAGACTAACACAACACATCACAGCTGACCACTCACAGACTAACACAACACGTCACTGCTGACCACTCACAGACCAACACAACACATCACTGCTGACCACTCACAGACTAACACAACACATCACTGCTGACCACTCACAGACTAACACAACACATCACTGCTGACTACTCACAGACTAACACAACACGTCACAGCTGACCACTCACAGACCAACACAACACGTCACTGCTGACCACTCACAGGCTAACACAACACGTCACTGCTGACCACTCACAGACTAACACAACACGTCACAGCTGACCACTCACAGACTAACACAACACGTCACTGCTGACCACTCACAGACTAACACAACACATCACAGCTGACCACTCACAGACTAACACAACACGTCACTGCTGACCACTCACAGACTAACATGACACATCACTGCTGACCACTCACAGACTAACACAACACATCACAGCTGACCACTCACAGACTAACACAACACATCACAGCTGACCACTCACAGACTAACACAACACATTACAGCTGACCACTCACAGACTAACACAATACGTCACAGCTGACCACTCACAGACTAACACAACACATCACAGCTGACCACTCACAGACTAACACAACACATCACAGCTGACCACTCACAGACTAACACAACACATCACAGCTGACCACTCACAGACTAACACAACACGTCACTGCTGACCACTCACAGACCAACACAACACATCACTGCTGACCACTCACAGACTAACACAACACATCACTGCTGACCACTCACAGACTAACACAACACATCACTGCTGACTACTCACAGACTAACACAACACGTCACAGCTGACCACTCACAGACCAACACAACACGTCACTGCTGACAACTCACAGGCTAACACAACACGTCACTGCTGACCACTCACAGACTAACACAACACGTCACTGCTGACCACTCACAGGCTAACACAACACGTTACTGCTGACCACTCACAGACCAACACAACACGTCACTGCTGACCACTCACAGGCTAACACAACACGTCACTGCTGACCACTCACAGACTAACACAACATGTCACTGCTGACCACTCACAGACCAACACAACACGTCACTGCTGACCACTCACAGACTAACACAACACGTCACAGCTGACCACTCACAGACTAACACAACACGTCACTGCTGACCACTCACAGACTAACATGACACATCACAGCTGACCACTCACAGACTAACATGACACATCACTGCTGACCACTCACAGACTAACACAACACATCACTGCTGACCACTCACAGACTAACACAACACATCACAGCTGACCACTCACAGACTAACACAACACATCACTGCTGACCACTCACAGACTAACACAACACATCACAGCTGACCACTCACAGACTAACACAACACATCACTGCTGACCACTCACAGACTAACACAACACGTCACTGCTGACCACTCACAGACCAACACAACACATCACTGCTGACCACTCACAGACTAACACAACACATCACTGCTGACCACTCACAGACTAACACAACACATCACAGCTGACCACTCACAGACTAACACAACACATCACTGCTGACCACTCACAGACTAACACAACACATCACTGCTGACCTCTCACAGACCAACACAACACGTCACTGCTGACCACTCACAGACCAACACAACACGTCACTGCTGACCACTCACAGACTAACACAACACGTCACTGCTGACCACTCACAGGCTAACACAACACGTTACTGCTGACCACTCACAGACCAACACAACACGTCACTGCTGACCACTCACAGACTAACACAACACATTACAGCTGACCACTCACAGACTAACATAATACATCACAGCTGACCACTCACAGACTAACACAACACATCACAGCTGACCACTCACAGACTAACACAACACATCACAGCTGACCACTCACAGACTAACATAATACATCACAGCTGACCACTCACAGACTAACACAACACATCACAGCTGACCACTCACAGACTAACACAACACATCACAGCTGACCACTCACAGACTAACATGACACAGCACAGACTAATATAAGACATCACAGACATCACAGCTGTTTAGGTTTTATCTTAACCTGCCAATACATCCTTCCTTCAGAATGGGCGGTGGGGTAGCCTAGTGGCTAACGTGTTTACTTACAATTGTCACGTCGATTGGCCCAGTCTGATTCCTCACTAGGTTATTGGGGGAAGCACAATTTTTGGGTCCTCTGCAGGCGTATGGTAAACCATTCTCACTAACAAACTGCTTCAGAGAGTGAGTGAGTATGGTTTTACGCTTCTTTTAGCATTATTCCAGCAATATCATGGCAGGAGACATCAGAAATTGGCTTCACACATTGTACCCATGTGGGGAATCAAACCCTAGGCTTTGCCATGACGAGTGAACGCTTTAACCACTAAGCTACCCCTCACCCCTACCTACTGCTTCAGGACAGTCAGAACATCATTGGCAAGAAACCATTTAATTTATTATTTCAGATCGTAAACGCCCTGAAGAAGACATCAAGGAACTTGATGCTAAGAACAAGATCACCAGAGACATGGTAAGTTGGTGTGACGCCTCTATGTTGCTCGGAATACTGTGCAGATGGTGTATATGAAACTATTCATTGAGCCTGATGGGTTTTTATACCAAACTCTTGAAATAGGAATTTGTATGTACAACAGATTTTATGATGAGGCTCAAATGACCACATGACCAATAAACTCAGGGGGGAAGAAGACAAGATACCTACCATCGGTTTCAAGATTCTGACAGAGCATGAAAGCCAAGATCTTGGGACCCTAACCAGCCTCGGATAACAAGACGCAGACATCAAATGGGAGAAATATCCAATTTATGTTTCTGATATTCATAAGTCATTTCAACTACACATAATCCAACGTATCTGACAAACAAATGATAGATTTGGTGTGGTCTCTCCCTGATCTGTAGTAGGTGTAGGAGTGGGAAGCACTTGTACATCATGTGCTGGTCCTATTATGACATGGGTTCTATTCACTTGTGACATTTGTGTCCTTGTGTTTGAATTACTTCAAGGCTGCCAGAACGTCTATGATGTGCTGATGTATGGCAACTTGGCCAAATGAGGTGCTTCATCACTTGGATGTTTTAGGTTCTACATTCAAACAATTTCATTTTTAATGAACAAGATATCTGCATAAATAAGTTTGATCACATGGCAAAAGCAAATCCTGCCATGTACTGCAACCATTTGTGAATCAGCTTACAAGAGAGAGCTCCCTGTTAGAATAGGACTCCCACTGACTGTATGAGAGGACTTGGTGGATTGGGAGGCCAGGCTCAGTGACAGTCAACAAGCAACAGAGAGAGATGCGATCATCTCATGAGAATCATTTAGACCATCGCCCACCACCTACCCTTACTGTATTTTGATAAACAGGTCCTTTAAGTTTGTTTGTAACGGTTAAACAGAACTGTGGGTCTTTGTTGGGTTTTTTGTATGTTTATTTTGTAACAATGCACCGAGCAATGTTCAAGCTAGCTGACCCGTGAAGATCCGGGGTAGAATAGGTCTTCAGCTACCCATACTTGCCGTAAAAGGTGACTATGCTTGTCTTAAGAGGCGACTAAGGGGGGATCGGGTGGTCAGGCTCCCTGACTTGGTTGATGCATGTCATCGTTTCCCAATTGCGTGGATCGATGCTCATGGTGTCAATCACTGGATTGTCTGGTCCAGGCTCGATTATTTATAAACCGCCGTCATATAGCTGGAATATTGCTGAGTGCTACGTTAAACAACAACAAACAAACAAATCAAGCTAGCTGAGGGTGGCGTGGTATAATCTTGTCTTGACCATACACATCAGTGATTGATATTATGCTGCTCACTAAGTCTGACCATCTGATCCATCAAGTTACCCCTTATTACTAGCATAGGTTGGTGGGGACCATTTCTCACCCAATTCTCCTCACAAGGACCAAGAGCTTGGTCAAAACTGTAACCATGAGGGTAAGGGAACTTCTATTAAACACCAGCTGTCCTATCAGACCTGTTGTATGATGTTACGAAGGTTTTATTAACAGCAGACATTCCATGGCTCCATTGCAGTTATACCCCAAAAACAAGCGTCCGAGGGAAGAGGATGAGTCCAGTGAATACTCCGATGAGGATGAGTACGACCCAAGCCCTGCAGTGGTCACGTAAGTTCCTCCTCTCACCCAGCCCCCCATAGTGGTCACATAAATCCCCCCTACAACCCAGCCCCCAACAGTGGTCATGTAAGTCACCCCCACCCACCCAGCCCCCAACAGTGGTCATGTAGGTCCACCCACCCACCCAGCCCCCAACAGTGGTCATGTAAGTCCCCCCGCCCACCCAGCCCCCAACAGTGGTCATGTAAGTCACCCCCACCCACCCAGCCCCCAACAGTGGTCATGTAGGTCCACCCACCCACCCAGCCCCCAACAGTGGTCATGTAAGTCACCCCCACCCACCCAGCCCCCAACAGTGGTCATGTAGGTCCACCCACCCACCCAGCCCCCAACAGTGGTCATGTAAGTCCCCCCGCCCACCCAGCCCCCAACAGTGGTCATGTAAGTCCCCCCGCCCACCCAGCCCCCAACAGTGGTCATGTAAGTCCCCCCACCCATCCAGCCCCCAACAGTGGTCATGTAAGTCACCCCCACCCACCCAGCCCCCAACAGTGGTCATGTAGGTCCACCCACCCACCCAGCCCCCAACAGTGGTCATGTAAGTCCCCCCGCCCACCCAGCCCCCAACAGTGGTCATGTAAGTCCCCCCACCCATCCAGCCCCCAACAGTGGTCATGTAAGTCACCCCCACCCACCCAGCCCCCAACAGTGGTCATGTATGTCACCCCCACCCACCCAGCCCCCAACAGTGGTCATGTAAGTCACCCCCACCCACCCAGCCCCCAACAGTGGTCATGTAAGTCACCCCCACCCGACCAGCCCACAACAGTGGTCATGTAAGTCCCCCCGCCCACCCAGCCCCCAACAGTGGTCATGTATGTCACCCCCACCCACCCAACCCCCAACAGTGGTCATGTAAGTCCCCCCCACCCACCCAGCCCCCAACAGTGGTCATGTAAGTCACCCCCACCCACCCAGCCCCCAACAGTGGTCATGTATGTCACCCCCGCCCACCCAGCCCCCAACAGTGGTCATGTAAGTCCCCCCACCCACCCAGCCCCCAACAGTGGTCATGTATGTCACCCCCACCCACCCAACCCCCAAAAGTGGTCATGAAAGTCCACCCCCCACCCTCCCCCCAATGGTCATGTAAGAACCCCCAACCCCCACAGTGTTCACATTTGTGCCCCAGTGTTCACATTTGTGCCACAGTGTTCACATCAGTGCCCCACGGCGTTCACATTTCTGCCCCAGTGTTCACATTACTGCCCCAGTGTTCACATCAGCACCACTGTGTTCACATCAGTGCCCCACAGTGTTCACATCAGTACCACACAGTGTTCATATCAGTGCCCCACAGTGTTCACATCAGTGCCCCACGGTGTTCACATTACTGCCCCAGTGTTCACATTACTGCCCAAGTGTTCACATCAGTACCACAGTGTTCACATCAGTGCCCCACAGTGTTCACATCAGTGCCCCACAGTGTTCACATCAGTACCACACAGTGTCCACATCAGTGCCCCACAGTGTTCACATCCGTGCCCCACAGTGTTCACATCAGTACCACACAGTGTTCACATCAGTGCCCCACAGTGTTCACATCAGTACCACACAGTGTTCACATTAGTGCCCCACATTGTTCACATCAGTGCCCCACAGTGTTCACATCAGTACCACACAGTGTTCATATCAGTGCCCCACAGTGTTCACATCAGTGCCCCACGGTGTTCACATCAGTGCCCCACAGTGTTCACATCAGTACAACACAGTGTTCACATCAGTGCCCCACAGTGTTCACATCAGTGCCCCACAGTGTTCACATCAGTGCCCCACAGTGTTCACATCAGTACCACACAGTGTTCACATCAGTACCACACAGTGTTCACATCAGTGCCCCACAGTGTTCACATCAGTGCCTCACAGTGTTCACATCAGTGCCCCACAGTGTTCACACTAGTGCCCCACAGTGTTCACATCAGTGCCCCACAGTGTTCACATCAGTACCACACAGTGTTCACATCAGTGCCCCAGTGTTCACATCAGTGCCCCACAGTGTTCACATCAGTACCCCACAGTGTTCACATCAGTACCACACAGTGTTCACATCAGTGCCCCACAGTGATCACATCAGTACCACAGTGTTCACATCAGTGCCCCACAGTGTTCACATCAGTACCACACAGTGTTCACATTAGTGCCCCACATTGTTCACATCAGTGCCCCACAGTGTTCACATTAGTGCCCCAATTTTCACACTAGTGCCCCACAGTGTTCACATCAGTACCACAGAGTGTTCACATCAGTACCACACAGTGTTCACATCAGTACAACACAGTGTTCACATCAGTGCCCCACAGTGTTCACATCAGTGCCCCACAGTGTTCACATCAGTGCCCCACAGTGTTCACATCAGTGCCCCACGGTGTTCACATCAGTACCACAGTGTTCACATCAGTGCCCCACAGTGTTCACATCAGTACCACACAGTGTTCACATCAGTACCACAGTGTTCACATCAGTGCCCCACCGTGTTCACATTAGTGCCTCACAGTGTTCACATTAGTGCCCCACAGTGTTCACATCAGTACCTCACAGTGTTCATGTACAGGCCTTAGTAATGTACGCAAAGTATACCAATTTTAAGGGATATTTGAGAGATTGCAAGATATTAATGTTACTTAGCATCTAATAAACTAAAACACACAATAATTTGGGAGTATAGTCCCTACATTGGCCCACTAAACTACTGACTTCAAATAATGACAGACCCTCTGCCATTTCTGCTGGCAACAGGCCGAAGGGCCAGCATATATGCCAATCTATCTGTGGATTCTATTTTATGTTTTCAGGCATGTTCCTGCACCTGTAGCGGGTGCTCTGTTTGGCTTAGGGAATCCATTCTTTGGGACAGCCAGGTACGTGAATTTATATACTTGACTGGTCCATACCGGTATGTATGTTTATATACTTGACTGATCCATACCAGTATGTATATTTATATACATTGACTGATCCATACCCGTATGTATATTTATATACTTGACTGATCCATACCGGTATGTATATTTATATACTTGACTGATCCATACCGGTATGTATATTTATATACTTGACTGATCCATACCGGTATGTATATTTATATACTTGACTGATCCATACAGGTATGTATGTTTATATACTTGACTGATCCATACCGGTATGTATATTTATATACATGACTGATCCATACCTGTATGTATATTTATATACATGACTGATCCATACCGGTATGTATATTTATATACTTGACTGATCCATACCGGTATGTATATTTATATACATGACTGATCCATACCTGTATGTATATTTATATACTTGACTGATCCATACCGGTATGTATATTTATATACTTGACTGATCCATACCGGTATGTATATTTATATACTTGACTGATCCATACCTGTGTGTATATTTATATACTTGACTGATCCATACCTGTATGTATATTTATATACTTGACTGATCCATACCAGTATGTATATTTATATACTTGACTGATCCATACCGGTATGTATATTTATATGCTTGACTGATCCATACTGGTATGTATATTTATATACTTGACTGATCCATACTGGTATGTATATTTATATACTTGACTGATCCATACAGGTATGTATATTTATATACTTGACTGATCCATACAGGTATGTATATTTATATACTTGACTGATCCATACCGGTATGTATATTTATATACATGACTGATCCATACTGGTATGTATATTTATATACTTGACTGATCCATACTGGTATGTATATTTATATACTTGACTGATCCATACCGGTATGTATATTTATATACTTGACTGATCCATACTGGTATGTATATTTATATACTTGACTGATCCATACCGGTATGTATATTTATATACTTGACTGATCCATACCGGTATGTATATTTATATACTTGACTGATCCATACCGGTATGTATATTTATATACTTGACTGATCCATACTGGTATGTATATTTATATACTTGACTGATCCATACCTGTATGTATATTTATATACTTGACTGATCCATACCTGTATGTATATTTATATACTTGACTGATCCATACCGGTATGTATATTTATATACTTGACTGATCCATACTGGTATGTATATTTATATACTTGACTGATCCATACCGGTATGTATATTTATATACATGACTGATCCATACCGGTATGTATATTTATATACTTGACTGATCCATACCGTAAGCCATTGACATCAGGAGACACCAGCAGCCATGAACGGTGACCAGGGAACCTGTCTGCCTAGTGCTTTGATCTTTGTCGGTGCTAATTACCTATCTGGCTTCAATTTGCCCTTTGCTATGACATCCTTGAACTACCTGAAATATTGTTGAAAATGGTTTACACTGTTTCTAGCAGTGATGATGATGATGACATGGATGATGACATGGATGATGATGATGATGATGATGATGACATTGATGATGATGACATGGATGATGATGATGATGATTATGATGATGATGATGATGATGACATGGATGATGATGATGATGATGATGATGACATGGATGATGATGATGATGATGACATGGATGATGATGATGATGATGATGACATGGATGATGATGATGATGATGACATTGATGATGATGACATGGATGATGACATGGATGATGACATGGATGATGATGATGATGATGATGATGACATGGATGTTGATGATGATGACATTGATGATGATGATGATGACATGGATGATGATGATGATTATGATGATGATGACATGGATGATGATGATGATGATGATGATGACATGGATGATGATGATGATGACATGGATGATGACATGGATGATGATGATGATGATGACATGGATGTTGATGATGATGACATTGATGATGACATGGATGATGATGATGATGATTATGATGATGATGACATGGATGATGATGATGATGATGATGACGATGACATGGATGATGATGATGATGACATGGATGATGATGATGATGATGATGATGATGACATGGATGATGATGATGATGACATTGATGATGATGATGATGATGATGATGACATTGATGATGATGATGATGATGATGATGACATGGATGATGATGACATGGATGATGATGATGATGATGATGATGATGATGATGACATGGATGATGATGATGATGATGATGATGATGATGACATGGATGATGATGATGATGACATTGATGATGACATGGATGATGATGAGGATGATTATGATGATGATGATGATGATGATGACATGGATGATGATGATGATGATGATGACGATGACATGGATGATGATGATGATGACATGGATGATGATGATGATGATGATGATGATGATGATGATGACATGGATGATGATGATGACATTGATGATGATGACATGGATGATGATGATGATGATGATGATGATGACATGGATGATGATGATGATGATGATGATGATGATGATGACATGGATGATGATGATAATGATGATGATGACATGGCTATTGAGGAGGAGGAGTTTGATGATGATGAATGTTTCAGACCACCAAAGACAGTGTGTCGACAGTGTGCCGAATTCAAAGATCCAGCTGGAGGCACAGGACTCTTTGGGGGAATTCAAACAGGTCAGATTCCACAAAGCATTCTTTGCACTAAGTTGATGGCAACTCCCACAGTTGAGCTTCTGCAGTTGTTACATACATATAGCACTAAGGACACTTTATGAATACTGGCCAAGATTTAAATATGTTTGTACAGAATTGTAAATACTCTGATTGTTAGATGCAGTTTGCTAGTCACTACCAGTGTACCAACAATTGGTAACTGAACATTTAGGCCTGATTCCATTGTTAGATGGCTTGTCACTGCTCATGTGTATTTTTCACTGTCATTGTGATTTTTAAATATGTCTTAATTTATTTAGCTTTCTTTGCTTGTTTAATCATAGTTTGTATCTAATTATTACAAAAACTGCTTGAATTCTCAATCTGAAATTAATATCCCTGGATGGAATTTGCAGCAGTTACTGCAGTCAAGAATCTTGTCACTGGGGCAGCAGAGGGCGCCACTGCAGAGGGAGACAACCCTGGCCCATCAGGGGCACCTGCTGCAGCAACTGATGGAGGTAGGTTCTGACAGCTAGGAACTACTTTGTCCTGTTTATGTCAGAGGTGGTCCATTTGGCCAGTACTCAGCTATTACAAGGTTCTAGAAAAGGCCTGAATTTGGCAGCTTGGTTTGGAAAGGACTTAACTTTCAATCCGCCATAAAGAGGTCTTCAATTTCAGTAACAGGCCTTCAAAAGGCCTTGCTTTGGGAAACTGTTCTTAACTCTGCTGTGAAATACATATTTTGCAATTGCTGGATGCATGATGACATCATCAAGCCAAGGATTATTCTATAACACTATCGATAAATAGCATTGCAACACAGGTGTGTCTACTTGATATGTTACAAGCCATTTGGGGTAGAGCTGGGACGAACTTGAACGGGTACCCACCACTCTTTATCCCGACCCTACCAGATACCCACTATAAGTCTCAAGACTTTGGTGTAAATTGTCCGATTGGGAATAGTTTGACCGTAGCCCTGGGAAAATGTATTTAGATACACATATAAAACGATCTGGTCATGCATACACTGAAGTTGACTTAAGTTTTAAATTTTTTTAAACCTATAAACGTTAGAAGGAATGGGTGCATTGTCAGAAAGAAAAGGGAACATTAGTGACTTGTAGTGTAACCATAGAGTTTTTTGATGTTTTTGATGTCATTAAACAATATATCACGTGACTAACCATGGGTCTGGGTAGTCCTGTGGGTACCCGGATCCTACTCAGTACCACCTGACCCTAGTACCCGAGTAACCCGTCCCAGCCCTAATTTGGGGTCAAATCATAACAGCCGCTGTGATATAGCTGGACCATTGCTGACTGTGGTGTTAAACAGATTTCACTCACACCCTCCCAATTTGGGATTTGTATATGAACCCTCCAATGAGATTTGTAACTTTCACAGCTGGACCATCAACAGGAGAGGATGGAGATAGAGCCGACCCTGATGTGAAGGTCATGCCGACGCCCCCGCAATTCACCTGTGCCATCAATCAGAACCACATCCTGTGTGCCTGCTGTATGCAGCCGATGCCGGACCGGCGTGTGCAGAGAGTTCACAATCCTGCCATCCCCGCACAACAGTGTATGTGATGTGACAATACTGTGTTTCATTCCGGGCCACGCCAGGTTTATGTCTCATTTTATGAATTTTAGCTCACCTGAACATCAGGGAATGTGGCCTTATGACAGAATACTAACCTATTCACCACTTACGTTTGATATCATTGAATGAAGGTTAGCTTCCACAACTTGTTTACCTTCGTATCAACGATTCCTTCCTTTGTTTACCAGGATTATTCCCTGACAGGTATTCATAGCGTGGAATAATGACTGAGGGCTGCTGGTGTTTTATTACTCACACAGGGTGTTAGGAATAGAACGCTAGTTACCGATTGTTAATTATTATTTTAATTATTCACAATGTCAAGATCAAAGATCGTAGCACCCATTCAACAATGTATGCAATGTTGTTATTTTTGTAGGATTAACAGAAATAGCAGAAACAGTATATGTGTAACAGCTAAGAATCACAAGATAAAAATATCAGCTAATGAAAACAGTTGTCACCGCTGCGCCAGTAGGTTTAGGCCACGCCCCAAATAGGTTTGTTTCGGAAGTCGATTATGGTGTGTGTGATTTCAACACTTTCACTTAGACATTTAAATGCTTTCCACGACCATCAAGAATTTTTCTCTTTCAGAAAATTTATAATTGTATCTAGGAAACTGATTTTCACAACAAAATCGCTGTCATTTGTTTTTTATTTACTTTCACTTTAAGATAACAATTTTTCAATAAATAGTACTGTTACAAGTCTTGAAGGTGAAAGACTGACGTTGCTTGTCTACAAGTGATTGACATTTAAAACATTTTCTTGAAATATTTCTAAATGTTATCTATTGTATCCTAAATGACAAAGCATCAGATGCATTGAATAGCTTACTTTGTATTTATCTCGCATACAATTGATTAATAAATATCTCCGAGGCAAGAGCGCCCACTAGCCCATTTATCTGATTGGATACTGCGTTTTCATCACAAGGGACACAACTCGTGATCTTCATGATGTAGCATACATCGAGCCAAAAAAGTGGCCTTTATATGGCAAGGGTAGAAACTAGACTTTGATATGCGCTAGTGGACTCGCTTGCCTCGGGAAGATGACATTCTAGATGCTGCCCTCTCAATGGCTGGTCCTTGTATGCAAATTATGCACGATCCAGATTCCCTAATAAGCTTTTCGTGAAGTTATATTCTCATTATTGCGACACAATCAGAAATAAATTTGAACAGATCTGTAGTTTATTTTATTGTTATAAGGCTGTCAGCGCAATTTATACAAAATGAATTAGGTGAGCTACATGGTCTTATGGCACTGTTGTAATTACTCTCCAGGTTCTATCTGTTACCGTGCCTACTGTCATGCCTACTGGGGCTGCCGCAACGCCAACTGTCTTGGGTGCCTTGGGAAGTTTAAAGGTAAATTTATCACTACTTTGGAAGTTGTTCTATATAAGTTTTACAGTGTATTGTATTTGAAATACATAGGTAGATAGAATGGCTTATGTGAAGATCCGGGGTAGTAGAATAGGTCTTCAGCAACCCATGCTTGCCATAAAAGGACACTACCGGTATGCTTGTCATAAGAGGCGACTAACAGAATTGGGTGGTCAGGCTCGCTGACTTGGTTCATGCATGTCATCGTATCCCAATTATGTGTTTCGATGCTCATGATATCAGTCACTGGAATGGCAGGTCCACTGGAATGTCAGGTCCAGACATGATTATTTGCAGACCGCCGTCATAAAGCTGGAATTTTGCTGAGTGCAGCGTTAAACAACAAACAATTATTAGAGGTGGCTTATTGGATCAGGCAGTCAGTCTTCGTGAATTGCGTGTTGTTCCTCGAAAAAGTGGGATATTGCTCATGATATCAGTGACTCACAAATTTATGAACTAAGTGATTACAACAACGAAGTTCACTTCTCCTGTTTCATATAAACTTTAGAATTGATTTGACAGATATGAACTTTGGGAAAAAGTGTCTGCCAAACCTCATCCTTGACAACACATCAGAGTCGACAATATTCAAGGTAGGATAAAGTTGGCCTTCTTGATAAAACACTTCTACATTAATATATGTAATTATTGCGCTGAGAGGTTGGTGGAAAACATCAGTGTGAAGTATGACAAGCCATGTAAGTAAAGGTAACTAGTTATTGTGTGAAGACTCACTAGCCTTTTAACTAATTATCACCTCCTATCATGGTATATCACTATACCTGTGATGATCCAGGGCAGAATAGGTCTTCAGCAACCCATGCTGGTCGTAAGAGGCGACTAACAGGATCAGGTGGTCAGGCTAACTGACTTGGTTGATGCATGTCATCAATCCCAGTTGCGTGGATCGATGCTCATGATGTCATTCACTGGATTGTCAAACAAACAAACAAAAACAAACTCTGGCACTATAAAACTGGCATTAGTCTGGACTAGTACAAGCACACAGGTATGCACACACATATGCATGCAAGCACGCACACACACACATCGCAATATAAATGTAATGATCTGGAATGTGATGTTAAACCCCATTTCACCTCACCTCACCTCACCTCACCTCACCTCACCTCACCTCACCTCACCTCACCTCACCTGTCATGTTCACTTTTACCTAAGTCGGATGAAAAGATTGTGTGGTTATTGAACCAGCTAGAAACCCATATTGGATTGTGTCTATGTTTGTTCCTACAGGACTACTTAGAAGCTAACAACATTTCAGTCCGAGATGTTTTAAAGGAAGGCTTAGCCAAGCTTGAGTCTGGACAGTACAAATGTTTCGGTAAGTTGAAAACACTGGGTGTGAATCGCTCTACACTGAAACCCCCTGAATCGGGACACTTTAGATCTTGGCAAACATACTCCCAGACTACTTGCATCTAATCAAGAGATTTGGGGGAGGGGAGGGGAGGGGGGATGAGATTTGACAGTAGAGAGAACTAAGAGCTGATTATGATCAGCATAAAATTGTACACACTGAATACTCCTACCATGCCTTCAAATTTCACTGGGGGTGGTCGGGTAGCCTAGTGGTGAAAGCGTTCGCTCGTCAGGCCGAAGACCCGGGTTCGATTCCCGACATGGGTACAATATCTGGTGTCCCCGCCGTGATATTGCTGGAATATTACTAAGAGCCACGTAAAACCAAACTCACACACTTACTCAAATTTCCCTGTATGCACAACTGGTATCAAAATGTATGATCTTATTAATTGCTGCAAGTTACACAAGGTATTTCATGACAAATGTTCACAGCTATGTTATGTATTTCTGGAAACATGGAAAAAATCTCTTATTGTTTTCAGATCAAATGAGGGGGGTTGTGGACGGAGAGACATATTTCTGCTACATGTGTGGACTGCGCAATTTCAAAGACCTAGCCTACCAATATCGGAAGGATATACCCAAGGAGAACCTGCCAGGTACGTGTTTAGCAGTAATCCATGTGACCACCACACACTTACATCAATCACTTTAAAACACGGAATTTCACTCCTCAATTCACTAAGATGAGTGTTTGTTTGTTTGTTTTTTTGTTGTTGTTTTTCTCTTTGTTTCTTTATTTATCGCTGCACTTAGCGATATTCCAGCTATATGACAGTGCTCTGTTGGTATACGATGACATGTGTAGTGACCATCAAATTTCCAAGTCCCGTGATCGGATTCGAACTACAGACCCTCTTACCTGAAGTCTGGGGGGCACGGGTGGCCCAGTTGTCTAAGGTCCCCATGATTCGCTGTGCAGAGTTGCGTCCCCTGGGAACACCAGAAACCTATGATTGTGGGTTCGATTCCCGGTTTGGCCCGATTATGTTTCTAGGTTTGTCAGCACCATACCCGTGCTCATGGGTTTCACCTAAGTGTAAACGTCTGAGACCTGCATCACTTCGGGCTTTCCTCCCACATTAAGCTGACACGCCGTGATATAACGTTAAAAGCGGCGTTAAACCCATCTTGTCCACATGACCAGAGCGTCATCCCATCAGTAAGCTGACATGGTAAGAGTTGTCATGTGTAGGATGACCCCATGCCCTGCTACATGCTACCCCGCCAACAGAAGACATGTCCCGGGCCACATAGTAGGAAGGGAGACTTACATTACTCAAATACGATGTATTCATGCTCCAAAACAAAATGGAAGCTTGCGATATGAGAAAATAAAGATGGGGTGATTTTTTACCATCATCCAGTTTTACTGTTTGTTGATTCTGCTGTCAACACAGCCAGGTCCAAAACTATATAGGTTGTAGCAGGATCACGAGGGGTGTATAGGGTTTAATGTGTCTCACACAAGGTTTAATGTGTCTCACACAAGATTTTGTACCACTCGCAACAAGGGACACATAAAACCCCATGTACCCTGAGCGATCCTGCTACAACAAATTTATCTTACCGACATGTTTTATATGACATTGTAAAAGAAATCGAACAAATTAAAACTGATAGAAAAAAGCTGTTTGATTCAGCTGAGGTTACCTTGTGCTATGTCACTTTACTTTCATTGACTCATAAATAGTGTGCAGCTTGAGACCCGTGAAGATTCCAGGGTAGAATAGATCTTCAGCAACCCATGCTTGCCGTTAAAGGCGACTATGCTTGTCGTAAAAGGCAACTAACAGGATCGGGTGGTCAGGCTCGTTTACTTGGTTGATGCATGTCATCGATCCCAATTGCGTGGATCGATGCTCATGATATTAATCACTGGATTGTCTGGTCCAGACTCGATTATTTACAGACCACCGTCATATAGCTGGAATATTGCTGAGTGCGGCGTTAAACAACAAACCAACCAATGTTGCTTTGAAGCGGGTTGTAAGGGATTTATTCTGCCTCTCAGAAATCCATGTGCCACCTGTCTTGTTCGTGGTGGGGTATAATGGATTTTGAGAAATTTTATTTCTCTCCAAGGCGGGATACATAGTATTTGATCAAGATCACGCAGACCAATCAGATCTCATCATTCTGACATGGAGGTATGATAATATTATTTATCAGCCTGATGTGGCTGGAATATTGTTGACAGATGCACCAGACAACATACACTGACTTGCTCATCATCAAAATACTTATCTATTTCAGAGGCAGTACAGAGACGATCCGATTGTTACTGGGGAAAGAACTGTCGAACACAGCGCAACAAGCCTCACCACGCAGCGTATGTATACATGAATGTAGTCCCTATCTCTGTACTTCACTATGATATACAAACTGCAATATCTAAGATGGAGGCCGGATGGCTTCAGATTAGGTTTATTAAATGAGTTACATGAGGCAGCCATGTTCTTGTCTAGAGGCCATCTTGATCATGACGTCATCATGACATCATCACTCTTTTAGTGACGTCATCAGTTCATGAGTACTATGATGACTGTTGATACTACATCTCCCTTTCGAAAGTCTTGAAGGAGATTAAATCCTTTAATTACTGTAAAAGAGTTCAGCACTTTAACGTTAGAGTCTCTAATAGTGAAAGCTGAACTTAGACCTTAAAAGCTGCATTATAAAGATAACAGCACAATATTCTAACCAAAGCTAACTTGAATGAATACTGAGTGTAAGTAGAAATTAACATTATCTCTGCAATCAGCATTTAAAGTCAAATCAAATTTCTAAACACATTTTCACACAAAGTGAATCTTCATAGAGTCACAGATCCAGTCTTTTTGGTTTCACTGACATCCTGCCAGATCTTGTCGTTGCAGTGTTAACTGGGTTGTTGACTTGAACACTGGTGTTGGCTGTTTCGCTGAATGGGTTTTCACATTTCCTCGAACAGTCTAACTTGACTGGCGTTCCACTATCTGCTGATGTTGGGATGAGATGCTTGCGATTTCTACACACAACTCTTCCCTCCGTTTCCACGTGATATGAACGGGGGGCTTCATCCTTGCTCTGAACTAAACCTTGTTTAGTTCCGTCAGCATCTTTCACGAACACATGATCACCTGGTTTGAGCGGTTGAAGATCTCGAGCTCGGTGTCTCACATCAAAAAGTTCTTTCTGTTTGACTCGCCGATGTTCGTCTTCCTCCCTGAATTTGTCAAAGTTAAGCTGCTTGGGCTTGAGCTGATTTGGGTGAGTAGGAACATTTGAACGGAGTTGTCTACCCATAAGGAGTTCTGCAGGACTGTGTCCACCAACAAGAGGTGTAGATCTGTAAGCAAGAAGACCTAGATAAACATCAGGTGACTTCTGGAGTAGATTTTTCACTGTGCGAACTGCACGCTCGGCCTCACCATTACTTTGTGGATAATGAGGACTACTTGTAAGATGAATGAATTCATACTCCAGGGAGAACGTTTTGAAGTTCTGGGATGAATACTGTGGACCATTGTCAGATACCACAAATTCTGGGATTCCATGACGCGCAAAGATTGATTTCAGTTGATTGATGACGCTTGCCGATGTTGTACTTGATAACTTGGCGACTTCGATGTATCTTGAAAAATAGTCAACAACAAGGACATATTGGTTGTTTCGAAAGTCAAATAAGTCTGTACCGACTTTCATCCATGGACGATCTGGAAGTTCCGAAGGAATAAGTGGTTCAGTTGAATTTGACCTTTCTTTGGCACACACTTTGCAGTTTTGTACTTTTCTCTCTAGCTGTACTGCAAGTCCAGGCCACCATACAGAATATCTCGCCAATGCTCTGCATTTAGTTATCCCCTGATGTCCTTCATGTAGGCGATCTAACACACTGGATCTCATTTCTTCAGGTATGACAATTCTCTGTCCATACATTAACAGTCCATCTATAGCTGTGAGATCACCTCGGTGAGTCCAATATTGTCTCGCCTGAGTCGGAAGTTTGTGCAATGAAGGCCATCCATCTGTGCAGTATTGAATAAGCAAGTGACAATCGTCATCTTGTAGTTGTTGTCGCTTTATCTCAAGTATCTTTTGTTGAGACGCTGGCAGGCCTGACATCACAGAATCTGCATAGAGGTTAACGTCATGTAGAAGTTGAGTTTCACTCTTGTTTCCTTCAGACTTGAGTGGAGTTCTTGAAAGCGCATCTGCAGAGTACATGTATTTCCCTGGAACATGTACAATGTGAAATTGATATGCCATCAAACGCATACGTAGACGTTGAATTCTGGGTGGAAGTTCTTCAAGATTCTTGGAGCTTAACAGCGGAATCAAAGGTTTGTGATCCGTCTGAATTGTGAACTGCAGTCCAATCAGAAAGTCTCTGAATCTCTCACAACCCCACGTAATACCAAGCGCTTCCTTCTCAATTTGAGCGTATCTCTGCTCTGTCACTGTTAGTGATCTAGATGCATATGCAACAGGTCTGAGTGAATTATCCATTTGCTTCTGCAGTAACACTGCTCCAAGCCCGAAAGATGAAGCATCTGTTGAAACTACAGTTGTTGCACTTGGGTTGCAGTGGGTCAACACTGGTGATGTACAGAGTTTCTGCTTTATTCGATCAAAGGAAGTTTGTTGAGGTTCATTCCAAACCCATATGTTGTCTTTCACTAAAAGATCTCTGAGTGGTTTGGTATCATCTGCAAGATTTGGAAGAAACTTTGCTAACTGGTTCACCATTCCTAAGAAACGTCGAACTTCCGTAACAGATGAAGGTTCCGCCATATCTTGTATAGCGTTGATTTTCGCCGGATCAGCTCGAACACCATGACTGTCGATGATGTGACCTAGGAATCTCACAGAGTTAGTTGAGAAGACGCATTTGTCATTGAGAGTGACTCCAGCTTCCTGTAGTCTCTGTAAGGTTGCTTCTAATCTTGTGTCGTGTTCTGCCTGTGTTGAACCGTAGATCAGTATGTCATCCATCTGACATAAAGTTCCTTCTAATCCTTCCAATATCTGACTCATCCTCTTCTGGAAATGTTCAGGTGCAGATGAAATCCCAAACGGAAGACGATTGAATCTAAACCTTCCAAACGGTGTTATGAAAGTGGTAAGAAGTGACGATTTCTTTGTTAGTTCGATTTGATGAAACCCAGAGTTGGCGTCCAATTTGGTGAAGTATTGAGCACCGCTCAGTTGGCTGATTGTTTGGTCTACAACTGGCATTGAATGATTTTCGCGACGAACTGATTCATTCAATTTGGTCAGATCAACACAAATTCTAACGGATCCTGAGGCTTTAGGTACAACAACAATACCTGCACACCAGTCCGTAGGTTCGTCAACACGTGAGATTACACCGCTTCTCTCCATGTTCTCGAGTTCTTTCTTCACCTTGGTGAGTAAAGGAAGTGGAACTCTTCTTGGAGTATTCAGAGAAAAAGGCTTTGCTCCCTCCTTAAGCTTAATGTTATAGGCACCATCCATCTTCCCAAGCCCAATGAACAACTTGGGAAACTTGGTTCTCCAATATTCATTTGGTGATACTCTGTCTTCAATGTTGTGTACCCGCTGAATGAGATTCAAGTCTTTAATTGCAGGTTTACCTATGAGAGGGGAAGCTAGACCTCTTACAACGTACACATCTTGTTTTGATGAACAATCTGTTGATTTCAGGGTTGCTGTGAATTTACCAAGCAATTTCAAAACTGATTTCCCAGCTCCATATAAGATCCTGTTAGATTTCTTGAGGGGTGGAGAATTCATCTCTTTGTAGACAGAATCTGGAATAACAGTTACATCGGCTCCAGTGTCTATTTTGAAAACAACACCTCGCTTGTCGACTAGCAAGTCAATATACCAGGGGTCATCACTGAAACTACTGTGAGGTGAGACATCCTCTACAGATCCAAGAAATGCATAATCACAGTCATTTTCCTCTGTCAGCCCTTCAACATTACTCACTGCATACCGCTTCTTACTTGTTTGTGAGGTATTTGCAGGCTGGTTTCGGCACATAACATCCCAATGTCCCTTTTTCTGACATTTTCTGCAGGTTGAAGATACAGCTGGACAATCTACCTTCCTGTGTTGAGATTTGCCACATCTGTGACATGGTTGAGACTTGTGGTGGTTCTTCCACTTCTTATTCTTGTGATGTTTGAAGTTACCTCCCTTTATCGCCTCAACATTTGCCGTAGCATTTTCCATTTCAGCCGCAGTATTTCGGACCACTGGTTGTTGCCTTTTCACAGTTTCAGACTGTCTGGCCATCTTGATAGCTTTTTCAAGGGTTAATTCACCATCCAGCTGTAGTCGTTCAGATAGACCAGTGTCCCTTATTCCAACCACTATCCTGTCACGAATAAGATTATCCTGAAGTGTTCCATATGCACAATGTTCAGCCAGACCATAGAGCGCAGTGATGAAGCTATCTACAGTTTCACCTGGTTCTTGTAGTCTCTTGTTAAACTTGGCTCATTCGAAGATAACATTTCTTCTAACAGTGAAAAAGTTCTCAAAGTGAGTTTTCACAACGTCAAAATCAGCCACTTGTTGTTCATTAAGTCTAAATGTAGCTAATATGTCTTCTGCCTCTTCCCCCATAGAATAAACAAGCGTGGAAACTTGCAAATTACCATCTTTAGTGTTCAGTCTTGATGCTAATCTAAAGCGAGCAAATCTCTTTATCCATTTTGGCCACTCATCAGGCTGCTTGAAATTGAAACGATCAGGTGGAGACACTTGGAATGTAGCCATGCTTTTTCTGATGAAAATATCCACTGGGATAAATGAACAGCTTCTGTAATCCTCAGTAATTGTGATTGCAAGCTAGGATGTGCTTATGACTTCAGTTTATCAGTCAAAATGTTCACTCAAACTAGCATGTGAGTTTAAACATTAGCACTATCACTGGCTATTCACTTCAATTATTTTGGCACAATGCCAAATTCTAGTCCATCAAAATTGCATTAAATAGCTCACTCAGTCTCTGTAGATTCATATCCGACTTCTGACACCATGCAATATCTAAGATGGAGGCCGGATGGCTTCAGATTAGGTTTATTAAATGAGTTACATGAGGCAGCCATGTTCTTGTCTAGAGGCCATCTTGATCATGACGTCATCATGACATCATCACTCTTTTAGTGACGTCATCAGTTCATGAGTACTATGATGACTGTTGATACTACACAAACAACATGGGTGCTCTCACAATGCAGTACCAATCAATGTCTTCTTGTACTACTGTAGGATTCCTGACCAGAAATGCTCACAATGTTTGAGAGAGCAGGAGGTCGGTGGTTCTCTTCACAATCAGATCTTAGTTCTTAATACTGCTAAACAAAGATCTGCGGGCATCCCATTACGGGGCTCATCAGAACAATACTTTCTGGAATTTGACTGACCAATGAAATGACTGACAAGAAATCGACATTAGTCAACCAGAAGGCAACTTTCTTCAGCTGTACAGCACTAGTTTCAAACTGGCGACTTTCATTGCAGACTAGATCTACATTTTGACAAATTTCTTGATTCAAAATTTGAAAACTTTAATGGTTGGCCGAGTTTGTATGGCAGTACTTCACACAAGGTAGACTATCATTTTGACAGAATCAGACGTACAACCTGTCATTCGGAATTCCCCGTGTTACCCTTTTCGAGGTTGCATGATTAGAAATTACATTCCGACTGTCACGATCCTCATCTGGCTAGCGACCCACTGATTGGTCGGATGAAAAGTTATTCTGACGTGACCCGTAATGGGATGTCCTCAGGACTTTGTTTTGCGGTAGCGACAACTAATATGTGATTTTAATGAGATGGTTGTTCACTCACCTGGCCGTGTCATACCAAACGATATTAAGACATGGTACTTGTTGTTACCTTGCCCGATGCTCACCATTCGTTGGATGAAACAGTGACTGGCCAGTCAGTATAGTGTGACCATGTGGGGTATCCATGTTAAATTGCGGCATGATATCTTCATGAGATAGCACCACAAAACCAGCACAAGCCCAATCTTAGGACGCAACTTTTAACCTCATTTCTACCCGTGAAGATCCGGGGTAGAATAGGTCTTCATCAACCCATGCTTACTGTAAAAGGCGACTATGTTTGTCGTAAGAGGCTACTAACGGGATCGGGTGGTCAGGCTCGCTGATTTGGTTCATGCGTGTCTTTGATCCCAATTGCATGGATCGATGCTCATGATATCAATCACTGGATTGTCTGGTCCAGACTCGATTATTTACAGACCACCAGCGTTTAACAACAAACAAACAAACAAACAACCTCATTTCACATCACCTCCCCTCCCAATCCTTGTCTAAGAGAATACCCATGGCACTTGATAGTATTCCTTAAATTTCAAATGAATGTCATTTGTAAAATGAAAATGACAAAGTTCATCATCTGTATACAACTATTACTCCTCTCAGTGGGCTTGCAGCAGAACAGGTCCCCATTACCCAATGCTTGTCTGTGTCGGGCTGCAGTTAACTGGAGCTGGGGGGGAGGTCGAAAGTTAGGAAGTAACTACAATGAGGTCACAGAGTCTGAATTTTTAGAAGTCAGAATTTTCCAGATACAGCCATGCATTGTTATTGTTTGAACAATTAGATTGATTGATATAAACCTACAAATTTGCAGACACTTTGATTCTGAATAACTTCAAATGTTGCTAGGGCTACCAAGTGGCCTTGCTTTGGATTGTTGTAATATCTGTTGAAACATGAATATTGACCTCTATTCAAGCATTGGGACAAACCTTTTTAAAATGAGTAGCTTATTAATAATACTTACGCTTATTATTTTGTCCCTTGAGTACTTCAGTAGAATTGGTCCCCAACAACAAATGCTTATCATGCAAAGCAACTGAATGGATCAGGTGGTCAGGCTCGGTGGCTTGTTGCATGTCATCATACCCGACTGTATACAAAGTGGCTCATAATATCAATCACTTGTTTGTCATGTCCAGGCTTGGCGATTACAGGCCACAGCCAAATAGCTGGAATATTGCAGAGTTAAGTGTTAAACAACAAACAGAAAAACAAATCTTTAATCAGTTTGTTTTCATTGCAGAAACTTCAACCATGTGTGTGACCAAACAAGAAAAACCTAGCATACCCTAGCCCTGGTGCAGACATCCAGGTGTTCCTCAGAGAGAGCAGACTTATGACTGTGTGATGCTAAGTCATCTTATGTTACAAGAGGCATTATTTGCTTATCAACTGATATATGTAATGAATGCATAAACTAAGTTGTTGATCAGGTAACCAGGGTAACAGCTGGGTCAGTTTATTGCAGCCCCAGGGTGTTGTGCTGTGATAAAGTGTTGCCCTGGTCAGTTGTACATAGTGCTATGTATAGTGACTGTTGTGATGAAGCATGGTTGTGTTGGAGCCCCGCAGTCAGATGCATTCCCTGTGGGGATTCCTGATGTCAGTCAAAATGACAATGGTCATGTGTGGTCCTGACTACCGTCATATTGTTTGAATATTGCTGAGTGAGGCGTTCAACACCAAACAAGAAAGAGAACTTGTTTACCTTGTATCATGTTCATGCTGGACCTATTCTGACCAAGAACCCTCGCAGGGCCTGGAGACTGTGCTCTGGTAGTTCCAATGTATGGCCTATATTACTGTATTCAATACGATTAGTGACTGTCCGCAACGCTTATAATATATGCTGTAACTGTACATCTGGGCGGCTCCCTATAAACAATTTTGATTTAGAATTTAGATTTTTCGCAGACTGTCCCATTGTGTTTTCCTAATAGATCCCCGATCCAAATCTGCATCTCACTTTATATGTTTCAGCAAAGTGCATGTGTCGTGATCTAATGACAAATGCAACATGATTCACTTCTCAAGCCACTTGCCTTCAAATATCACTATGTGTAGTTACATTTTAGATCGTGCAACAATACATTTTCTTGCCGAGCTGGAAAATGGACTGGTAAAGATATTAATCTGCCATTGCACTGTGATGGCAGCCAAATATATGTACACTCTCAATGATTCTAGGACCGCCTCCGTGGTCTAGTGGTAGAGTGTACACCCGGAAAGCGGAAGGTCCGGGGTTTTATCCCCGGCCGTGTCATACCAAGAGACGTTAAAAGACGGTACTTGTTGTTACCCTGTCTGGCACTCAGCATTAAGGGGCTAAAACAAGACCTGGTCGGCTCGGAGTCAGTATACTGTGTCTGAGTGGGGTATTCATGTTAAACTGCGGCATGGTATCGCAGTGAGCTAGCACTATAAATCGGCATCAGTCCGGACTGTTACAAGCAGCCACACACACACACACACGTGCATGCGCATCACTATATAAGTGCAATAATCTTAGACATGATGTTCAACTCCATTTGACCTCACCTCAATGATTCCAACCCAATAAGTACATAGAAAGTTGTATGATCCAAAATGTAAGTACATATATTTGGAGGCAATTGTTTTGTGAAGCAAATCGTGTTTCAGTTTCCGTGGGATTATGATTCATGTACATTATGGTAGGGTAGTAAGTGCAGTATGTTCCTAATCGGGAACCTATTAAGAAAACAGTATGGGACAGTATGTAGCAACAAGTCAATATCAAAATTGTTTATAAGGAGCTGCACAGAGATACGGTTTCTATGCTAAAACAGTGATATTTCTAGGCACTTCTTGTCTCAGTACTTTTTCCTCCATATATGGCATTTAGCAGCTGCAGTATCAGTAAACACTGGGTTGACTGATAGATTAAGGAAGGAACAAAGAGGCTGAAGTCCTGAAGTAACCTTGTCTTTTACTCCACAAATGTGTTCAAGATTTTGTTTTCTCCTCACCAAGTCCCTTACAGCATTGATCTAATCTGAGACAGTATCACACGTCATGGCAGCCATTGTGTTGAATGCAGTAACATGGTAATTCTGATGTCACATGACTTGATTTGTACCTAGAAGGCACCAACCAATAAATTACCACAGATTTATCCTATATTGTGCCTGTGGTTGTCCTTTTCACTGAACTCACTGGAGGAAGGAGTTGGCAATGTTTCAGCCATAAAGCAACGTGTCCCAACTTGAACGATTGTTTAAGGTTCATCTGAATGAAAGTCAAGGCGTATATAATGGCCTGTTTGTCAGGCATCTGTTAAAATCTCCACAGAAACCTCTGAACCTGACACTACACATGCTTGTTCCCACCTCTGAACCCATGAAGCTGACACTACACTTGCTTGGTCCCACCTCGGAACCCATAAAGCTGACACTACACATGCTTGTTCGCACCTCGGAACCCATAAAGCTGACACTACACATGCTTGTTCCCACCTCTGAACCCATAAAGCTGACACTACACATGCTTGTTCCCACCTCTGAACCCATAAAGCTGACACTACACATGCTTGTTCCCACCTCTGAACCCATAAAGCTGACACTACACATGCTTGTTCCCACCTCTGAACCCATGAAGCTGACACTACACATGCTTGTTCCCACCTCTGAACCCATGAAGCTGACACTACACATGCTTGTTCCCACCTCTGAACCTATAAAGCTGACACTACACATGCTTGTTCCCACCTCTGAACCCATGAAGCTGACACTACACATGCTTGTTCCCACCTCTGAACCCATAAAGCCTTGTGGTTAAAGCATTTGCTCATTCTGTCACTATGCTGAGTTGTGTCACCGTGCTGAGTTGTGTCACCGTGCTGAGTTGTGTCACCATGCAGAGTTGTGTCACTGTGCAGAGTTGTGTCACTGTGCTGAGTTGTGTCACCGTGCTGAGTTGAGTCACCGTGCTGAGTTGTGTCACCATGCAGAGTTGTGTCACCATGCAGAGTTGTGTCACCATGCAGAGTTGTGTCACCGTGCAGTTGTGTCACCGTGCTGAGTTGTGTCACTGTGCAGAGTTGTGTCACCGTGCAGAGTTGTGTCCCTGTGCAGAGTTGTGTCACCGTGCTGAGTTGTGTCACCGTGCAGAGTTGTGTCACTGTGCAGAGTTGTGTCACCATGCAGAGTTGTGTGACCGTGCAGTTGTGTGACCATGCTGAGTTGTGTCACCGTGCTGAGTTGTGTCACTGTGCAGAGTTGTGTCACCATGCAGAGTTGTGTCCCTGTGCAGAGTTGTGTCACTGTGCAGAGTTGTGTCACCATGCAGAGTTGTGTCCCTGTGCAGAGTTGTATCACTGTGCAGAGTTGTGTCACCGTGCAGAGTTGTGTCACTGTGTAGAGTTGTGTCACCGTGCAGAGTTGTGTCACTGTGTAGAGTTGTGTCACCGTGCAGAGTTGTGTCACTGTGTAGAGTTGTGTCACCGTGCAGAGTTGTGTCACTGTGCAGAGTTGTGTCACCGTGCAGAGTTGTGTCCCTGTGTAGAGTTGTGTCACCGTGCAGAGTTGTGTCACTGTGCAGAGTTCTATCACTGCGCAGATTTCTGTCACTGTGCAGAGTTGTGTCACCGTGCAGAGTTGTGTCACCATGCAGAGTTGTGTCACCGTGCAGAGTTGTGTCACCATGCAGAGTTGTGTCACCGTGCAGAGTTGTGTCTCCGTGCAGAGTTGTGTCACCGTGTAGAGTTGTGTCACCATGCAGAGTTGTGTCACTGTGCAGAGTTGTGTCAACTCAGGTGTGCCAGGATGCAATGATTGTGAGTTTTGAATTCCAAAACATTGGAAAATAATAAAAATTAAAGACTCGCTACTAATATCATTCAAGGAAGTATTAAACCCAACTTTGCTCACTCACTCCAGCTGACTGTATTTTGACATTTGTCCAGTAAGGACAAATTGAAGTTTTAGCCGAAATAACAGGACTCAATTACACAAAAGGATCTTAATGTTAAGACTATTGTATGTCTATGTTTATCAATTTTATTAACAATAGTCTCTGAACTAAGATCGTTCTGTGCAACATCAATTAAATCCCACCAATAGGCCAACAAAATTCAAGAAAAATTATCCACAAGAGCACAAAGCGTCCATTATTTTCACGAAATACATGCATTGGAGGTCTTTCTTTGACATCAATAATTGAACGCTGATGAGGCGCCAAAGCGTAAACACAACCAACTACACCTGTGTCGAAACAAGGCAGGCAGTTGCACGTGCAGGACGAGATGTGGGTACAATACAATGTGGGAACGAATCACTCCTGGATGAGTGATGACAAAGGAACAGTATACATTCATAGGCAGTTTCAGTTATTTGGCTGAAATTGTTTGTGAGAAATAAATACACCGTTAGAATAATATTGTCATGTCATGTCATAAACTTATGATAGGGTATGATTAGAAAGCCTTGATACTGTGATAGAATCTCTTTCCTATTGACAAACACTGTACTGCTTAGAAATACAAATGCATTGAAGACTTGCCGGTAAGTGAGTATGGTTTTCTGCCCCTTTTAGCAATATTCCAGCAATATCACGAGGGGACACCAGACATGGGCTTTACCCCACTCCCCTAGAAGACTTGAACAACACAACAAAACAAATGTCACATTATGTATTGTTTCCCTGTTTTTTACAAACATAAACAAGTGGTATACAACAGCTGGTAAATAGTAAGTCAAAACAAGATCTGATTGAAACATGTTTTTCTGTCAAAGGTTATCATCAGTGAGTACCAAAAGGCTTCCAGATCTAACATATCGTGTGACATTTATGTTAACCAGACACCAGATGAAAGTAAGATATATTGATGGCTGTCAAGGTTGTATATCCAGAACCACCTGGGTCGCCCCATCAAATGCTGTTTGTGGTGATATCTCATTCACTATGATTTCCCCGTCAGAGAGTGTGTGTCTTGTTACATCCAACAGCTGAATTGGTCCTGCAGAATACAGCAGGGGCTTCAACACAGTGGTAGACAAAAAAGACTGTCGTGCTACAGAGTTCTCTCCCTTGTGGTCAGAGTTGTTCCCCTTTGTATGTGCCAATGAAGAATTGTGTCTTGGTCTGTGGACATTCCTCTGATGTTTGAGAAGATTCCCTTTGATTGCTGTCTTGTATGGGCAGTGTTGACACACGTGAGGCTTTGAGTCCTACAGACACATGACAAAGGCAGAGTGACAGTGGAACAAAACCATTCAGATCTCTACTGAGTACAATTTATTGACAGTTCAAAATGCATGCATTGTTCATCCAGCTTATCCTAAATCTGACGATAAATTGATGATTAAAAGACGACAAACAAAATTAGATGTTCCACAACAACACAAGATAACAAAACCTCACCTCAACACTAACCCTAGCTCTTGCAAGGACATCTAACCTGTGTGTGAAGACACCTACCCTGTGTGTCAGGACACCTACCCTGTGTGTGAGACACCTACCCTGTGTGTCAGAACATCTACCCTGTGTTTGGGGACACCTACCCTGTGTGTGAGTCACCTACCCTGTGTGTGAGGACACCTACCCTGTGTGTGAGTCACCTACCCTGTGTGTGAGTCATCTACCCTGTATGTGAGTCACCTACCCTGTGTGTGAGTCACCTACCCTGCATGTGAGTCATCTACCCTGTATGTGAGGACATCTACCCTGTGTGTGAGACACCTACCCTGAGTGTGAGACATCTACCCTGTGTGTGAGACACCTACCCTGTGTGTGAGTCACCTACCCTGCGTGTGAGTCATCTACCCTGTATGTGAGGACATCTACCCTGTGTGTGAGACACCTACCCTGAGTGTTAGACATCTACACTGTGTGTGAGGACACCTACCCTGTGCCTGAGTCACCTACCCTGTGTGTGAGACATCTACCCTGTGTGTGAGGACACCTACCCTGTGTGTGAGTCACCTACCCTGCGTGTGAGTCATCTACCCTGTATGTGAGTCACCTACCCTGTGTGTGAGTCACCTACCCTGCATGTGAGTCATCTACCCTGTATGTGAGGACATCTACCCTGTGTGTGAGACACCTACCCTGAGTGTGAGACATCTACCCTGTGTGTGAGACACCTACCCTGTGTGTGAGTCACCTACCCTGCGTGTGAGTCATCTACCCTGTATGTGAGGACATCTACCCTGTGTGTGAGCCACCTACCCTGAGTGTGAGACATCTACACTGTGTGTGAGGACACCTACCCTGTGCCCGAGTCACCTACCCTGTGTGTGAGTCATCTACCCTGTATGTGAGGACATCTACCCTGTGTGTGAGACAACTACCCTGTGTGTGAGTCACCTACCCTGTGTGTGAGACACCTACCCTGTGTGTGAGTCACCTACCCTGCATGTGAGTAACCTACCCTGCATGTGAGTAACCTACCCTGTGTGTGGGACACCTACCTTGTGTGTGAGACATCTACCCTGAGTGTGAGACATCTACCCTGTGTGTGAGTCACCTACCATGTGTGTGAGACACCTACTCTGTGTGAAGGGACACCTACCCTGTGTGTGAGGACATCTACCCTGTGTGTGAGTCACCTACCCTGTGTGTGAGACAGCTACTCTGTGTGTCAAGACACCCAACCAGTGTGTCAAGACACCTACCCTGTGTGTGAGACACCTACCTTGTGTGTGAGACATCTACCCTGTGTGTGAGACACCTACTCTGTGTGTCAAGACACCCAACCAGTGTGAAGGGGCACCTACCCTGTGTGTGAGACACCTACCTTGTGTGTGAGACATCTACCTTGTGTGTGAGACACCTACCCTGTGTGTGAGACACCTACCTTGTGTGTGAGACACCTACCCTGTGTGTGAGACACCTACCTTGGGTGTGAGACACCTACCCTGTGTGTGAGACACCTACCTGTGTGTCAAGACACCTACCCTGTGTGTGAGACATCTACCCTGTGTGTGAGACATGTACCCTGTGTGTGAGACACCTACCTGTGTGTCAGGACACCTACCCTGTGCAAGTCACCTACCCTGTGTGTGAGACACCTACACTGTGTGTGAGACATCTACCCTGAAGACACCGTCCCTGTGTGTGAGACACCTACTGTGTGTGAAGACATCACCCTGTGTGTGAGGACACCTACCCTGTGTGTGAGAAAACTACCCTGTGTGTTAGACATCTACCCTGTATGTCCTCTACCCTGTTGGGACACCTTCCCTGTGTCTGGGGACACCTATCCTGTGTGTGAGACACCTACCCTGTGTGTGAGACATCTACCCTGTGTTAGAGGACATATATCCTGCGTGTGAGACACCTACCCTGTGTCTTGGGACACCTACCCTGTGTGGGGACACCTTCCCTGTGTCTGGGGACACCTACCCTGTGTGGGGACACCTTCCCTGTGTCTGGGGACACCTACCCTGTGCGGGGACACCTACCCTGTGTGGGGACACCTTGCCTGTGTCTTGGGACACCTACCCTGTGTGGGGACACCTTCCCTGTGTCTGGGGACACCTACCCTGTGTGGGGACACCTTCCCTGTGTCTGGGGACACCTACCCTGTGTGGGGACACCTACCCTGTGTGGGGACACCTACCCTGTGTGGGGACACCTTCCCTGTGTCTGGAGACACCTTCCCTGTGCCTCGGGACACCTACCGTGTGTGGGGACACCTACCCTGTGTGTATGCATCAGCTTCACATGCTGAGCCAGCCTGTTTTTCAATCTTGTTGAGAAATCACAGCTGGAGTAGGGACATTGCAAGGACTTCTCTGAAACCAAGACACAGGTACATCAGTCATCTCATCATAATTACATTCAGGGACAGCATTCATGACTTAACTGAAACACATGTTCATAAACAAACCCTTGACGTGCACCAAGTGACTTGGCCCCATTCCCACTTAGGCAATATCCTAATCATTTCTTTCCCTCCTCCACTCACCAACGCTCACTCACTACACTACAATCAGACAATCTGAATTGTAATACTAAGTCACAAACTCTGATAAATACACATCTCATGATCCCTGCTGTAGACCAATGTCATTAACATCAGGTAGCCAACTCCCATATGCAATCTCTCTGTGGAGATCTGATAAAACGACCCGAGGAGGTCGCTTCAGGTGAACCCTCATCAACCTTTGACCTTCCGGTCTACATGAAGGATGCATGGTCTGAGCTAATCAGATGTCTGCTTCTAAAAGGATTAGGTTTCATTTTTTACCACCTCAATTCTTAAATTTTGATCTATAAACAAAACCCACACAGAACACAAATATTCCTTTATTATTACACCCTTTTGGGTGTAAGATGCCATGGCACTCAGAAACATCAGGGATTATCATGTAAAACAACAACACATACAGAGCTTCCTTCACTATTTCCATTTGGAAATATGTACATGCATATGTCCTACACAAAAGAAGTGCCAAGACAGACTAACTACAGTAATATGAAAGAATCAAGCTTCCTTTAACTTCAATTGAGTAGTATAATGTTTGTTACATAAATGTGAATTACATTATCCTGAAGTCTTGTGTAAAACCTGTTTTTTAACAGAAGATGAAAGTCACGTATCATTTTATTAGTCATGTTATGCAGTTGAACATAATTTGTACTTGCAAGAATATACCGCTAATTCTAATTCCAAATTGGATGCAGCAACTGGATGTAGTTGTCAAAGTTTTTGTACAAGCTTACAAGCCTTAAAGTTGATCGGCTGATAAATACGTTCACCTGACATGTCCTGTGAGTGATTGTCAGATCTCACACTGAGAGGTACTATCAGAGTCAAAGACCTGGAGGAAATTGCCACGTATCCGTGGTCTGCCAAACCTTTATGTACAATCCTGTGACTGCGTAGATTGCCAGCAGTGCTGAACTTCTTGTGACAGACTTCACACATGTACTGCTGGATGCCTGGAAACAGACGTTGCATAACATGTACAGTTGACTTGTTAGGCTATCTTTGGTTGTATCACTGCCAACATCCATAAGCATCGAATCAAACCCTGAACAGTCAATGGACTGTACCCTCTGCCCCGACACTACTGTGTTAAATATTAACATTGGACCAAACCACAAACTTGCATAATCAGAATATAACCTGGCTCCTGCAGCTATTAACATTCAAACAGATAACACATTTCTGCTGAAATGACTGATATTGATCAAATAAAAGAATTGTTCAAAGGTTAAAAACAGTGAAATACATAAAGTTTTAGTGGGCGTATGTACTGCATATGAAATTTCAGAAAAACACAAAGTTTGGCTTCATAAAACCGTGAGTGTTCAGTGGATAGATATGAGTCTGGTGTACCTACCTTTGTGAGTATTGACATGGCCGGTGTACCTACCTTTGTGAGTATTGACATGGCCGGTGTACCTACCTTTGTGAGTATTGACATGGCCAGTGTACCTACCTTTGTGAGTATTGACATGGCCGGTGTACCTACCTTTGTGAGTATTGACATGGCCGGTGTACCTACCTTTGTGAGTATTGACATGACCGGTGTACCTACCTTTGTGAGTATTGACATGGCCGGTGTACCTACCTTTGTGAGTATTGACATGGCCCGTGTACCTACCTTTGTGAGTATTGACATGACCGGTGTACCTACCTTTGTGAGTAGTGACATGACCGGTGTACCTACCTTTGTGAGTATTGACATGACCGGTGTACCTACCTTTGTGAGTATTGACATGACCGGTGTACCTACCTTTGTGAGTAGTGACATGGCCAGTGTACCTACCTTTGTGAGTATTGACATGACCGGTGTACCTACCTTTGTGAGTATGACATGGCCAGTGTACCTACCTTTGTGAGTATGACATGGCCGGTGTACCTACCTTTGTGAGTATTGACATGACCGGTGTACACCTGTCTCCTGAAGGTCTCAAACTTGCAGTCAGCTTCAGGACATCGGTATCTGCAGGGCCAAACAAACAACTACTACTATTAATAATAATTCTTAAACCGATCATGGTTGGTAGGTTTGAAGTCGCGAAGGTAGGGGTGCAACTTACATAGTGTACCCTCAAGGTAGGGGTGCAACTTACATAGTGTACCCTGAAGATAGGGGTGCAACTTAGATGGTGTACCCTCAAGGTAGGGATGCAACTTACATAGTGTACCCTCAAGGTAGGGGTTCAACTTACACGGTGTACCCTGAAGATAGGGGTGCAACTTAGATGGTATACCCTCAAGGTAGGGGTGCAACTTACATGGTGTACCCTCAAGGTAGGGATGCAACTTAGATGATGTACCCTCAAGGTAGGGGTGCAACTTACATAGTGTACCCTGAAGATAGGGGTGCAACTTAGATGGTATACCCTCAAGGTAGGGGTGCAACTTACATAGTGTACCCTCAAGGTAGGGGTTCAACTTACATAGTGTACCCTCAAGGTAGGGGTTCAACTTACACGGTGTACCCTCAAGGTAGGGGTTCAACTTACATGGTGTACCCTCAAGGTAGGGATGCAACTTACACGGTGTACCCTCAAGGTAGGGGTTCAACTTACATAGTGTACCCTCAAGGTAGGGGTGCAACTTACATAGTGTACCCTGAAGATAGGGGTGCAACTTAGATGGTATACCCTCAAGGTAGGGGTGCAACTTACATAGTGTACCCTCAAGGTAGGGGTTCAACTTACATAGTGTACCCTCAAGGTAGGGGTTCAACTTACACGGTGTACCCTCAAGGTAGGGATGCAACTTAGATGATGTACCCTCAAGGTAGGGGTGCAACTTACATAGTGTATCCCGAAGGCAGGGGCGTGGAATGTTTGGTGTACTTGTGCTGGACTAGGGTCACTCTGTCCAGGGTGGAGAAAGGACACACATCACACAGGTGGGGATGAGACTTCTTGTGCTTCTCCTCCACATGCCTCTGGAAAGGCAATGGCACATGTTGCAGGGGAAATATTTAGGTTTAGGTTTATGTTAGTGTGATGCCATCTTGCTGAGGCAAGGGAATTAACTGATTATAAAATTCCAGTTTCCACCCTCGCCAAACTTAGCTGGAATTCCAGAGTTACATTTTGACTGGACTAACAAGTCTATGCAGTCCAATCCAAATCGCATAACAAAGTAGAAATCTGTTCCATAAACATGGATTTCAACGTGCAGATTTCAGTCGACTGCAGGATTTGCAAAGCATGTGTACCATCAACTGGGCGTCATGTTTTTAATCAAGATGCTCAAATGATTTGACTAGTTTTATTCCAATATAGATCTTGATTATCGATCAGATAGCTTAGACTGGGCCATTCTGTTTGAAGCAAATGCAAGTGATATAGGAGTCTGATTGGTCAGTAGGAGGCTATAAAAGGGACATAACTCGTAATAGCCACTGGTGGTGCTACAATCGAGCCACAAAATTTCAGCGTAGTTTGGCAAGGGTGGAAACTGGACTTTTGTAGTCAGTTAACTTCCTTGCCTTGGGGAGATGGTGTGATGTAATTTGGGTGGTCATTGGTCAGTGAACACACTGGTTTAAATTTCCCCATCACTGGATTCAGGGCTGACAAGCAGTGACAACATTGTGTATCATCTGTATGTATTCATGGGCCAGGGATGTGGCGTATACAGACCCACGAAGTATTGACAATGCTGCATGGGCACTACGTGAAAAATCGTAGAACTAGACCTGATGTTTCAGCAGGATAAAGCATACTAAGACAAGGTAACCTAAGTGCCAACCACTTGCATTGTCCAGTGCCATGCCAACTCACCTTCCTGGCGCCGTGCTGAGAGAACACCTTGTCACAGAGTGGACACTGGAACCTGCGTGCCCGTGTATGTGTGTTTGTGTGTAGTGTCAGAGAGCCGAGCAGCTTGAAGTCCTTGCCACACCACTCACACACATAGGGACGTGTGTTGGAGTGAGACGTCACACGATGAGACTCGAGACGGTGCACCTCCAGTGTCTCATAGTCGCAGGCCTGGCAAATAACATTACCATGGTTACTCCATATATTATTAGACATGTTACAGTTGTGTGACAATTGACAGAGATAGTGATATTGACTAGCATATACCGGTAGCCTACAAAACAATTATGACACAATACATTTCTCAATTTTTTTCTAATGCTGACAATATTTTGTGGAACCCAGCCAGCTAAACTTCCCTTTTTCATAATGTAGATTATTTATTATAATATTCTGCAGTTATGGCATAGGAATACCATATTTTTGAGTACCTCAGACAAGAAATAATACAATTTATCTATAAACATATTAACAAGAGTCATCTGGAGATGACATATACCCCTGTTCTGGTGCAACTCGGAAAAGGAATTTAGCTACTAATACCCCACTTTTGGTTCATTGCCATAGGATAACTTCAATTCAGTGAAGAAAACATAATGCTGTTAGCAGGTTAGGTATTTTTCAACATCTCACATCATCAAAGGCACCAGTTCACCACTAGACTGATCTGTATAGCAAGTTTCATCTGGAAATATTCAACAGTTTTGGAGCTCTGCTCTGGAAACAATCACTACCCACGTTTTCAATATACATGATATATAAGTCCACCTTGTCATCATGAAAAAATATATATTTATTATAAAAAATCCGAAATCATCAAAAGGCATGAGTTCACCACTAGACTGATCTGTATAGCAAGTTTCAGAGAAACATTGAAGGTTTAGGTGTTCTGCTCCTGAAACGGAAAACGAACTGATGAACAGACATGCTGATTGCTAATCCCCCGTACTTTTCAAAACGGGGGGGGGGGGTGTTAAAAGGAGAGGGGACTTTGGCAATGGTCATTTAGACTTAGACAAAAGAAAAGTTGAGTATTTGAGGAAAGTCACATGATCAAAATAACACACACTAGTGTAGCGAAGTAACAATTATCAGCAAGGACATGCTAATACAATGGCACTCCCTATAAAACCGGAATTCTACTAGCCGTTTGGATAATCAAAAGTATTTGACCAACCGACACAGACTATCAGGCGAGTGGAAATTTGCATCCCTTCACATAATCATTATGCAGATGATACAGTGGATGAAGGGTCATTTCTTTCTTGTAAACTATACTCAACTGCAAAAGAAACGTCAATTCATGAAAATACTTCATAAAAGTTTTGCATTGAAATATCAATGCATTTTTGGAGGTACCTCGTTTTTTATGCTAGTCTGTACAAAGTCCTGAATGCTTTCCATGAAAATCAAAATTCATTTGTGTTTCCTTGAGCCTTTCTGATAAACAGCACCCCAGTTCTCAGACCCAACATTCTTGTCTCTATGCTAGCACCATGCCAAGGCTTACGAAGAATCACAGAAACCAGGCTTTATGACCACAGCATGCTGTTGGTGACCTGGCATCATTCCTGTAATCTGTAGATGGTTCTCAAGAGGACATTAAACACATTAGCAAACAATCAAGCAGTCTGACCAGCATGCAGTTGTCACCTGACACTTGAGCATGGAACTGGCTGGGGTTGAAGGCTACACTGTGTCCGTCACACCCCACACTCACTCACCTGACACTTGAGCACCTGGAACTGGCTGGGGTTGAAGGCTACACTGTGTCCGTCACACCCCACACTCACTCACCTGACACTTGAGCACCTGGAACTGGCTGGGGTTGAAGGCTACACTGTGTCCGTCACACTCCACACTCACTCACCTGACACTTAAGCACCTGGAACTGACTTGGGCTACACTGTGTCCGTCACACTCCACACTCACTCACCTGACACTTAAGCACCTGGAACTGGCTGGGGCTACACTGTGTCCGTCACTCCCCACACTCACTCACCTGACACTTGAGCACCTGGAACTGACTGGGGTCGAAGGCTACACTGTGTCCGTCACTCCCCACACTCACTCACCTGACACTTGAGCACCTGGAACTGACTGGGGTCGAAGGCTACACTGTGTCCGTCACTCCCCAAATTCACTCACCTGACACTTGAGCACCTGGAACTGACTGGGGTCGAAGGCTACACTGTGTCCGTCACTCCCCACACTCACTCACCTGACACTTGAGCACCTGGAACTGACTGGGGTCGAAGGCTACACTGTGTCCGTCACTCCCCACACTCACTCACCTGACACTTGAGCACCTGGAACTGACTGGGGTCGAAGGCTACACTGTGTCCGTCACTCCCCACACTCACTCACCTGACACTTGAGCACCTGGAACTGACTGGGGTCGAAGGCTACACTGTGTCCGTCACTCCCCACACTCACTCACCTGACACTTGAGCACCTGGAACTGACTGGGGTCGAAGGCTACACTGTGTCCGTCACTCCCCACACTCACTCACCTGACACTTGAGCACCTGGAACTGACTGGGGTCGAAGGCTACACTGTGTCCGTCACTCCCCACACTCACTCACCTGACACTTGAGCACCTGGAACTGGCTGGGTCGAAGGCTACACTGTGTCCGTCACTCCCCACACTCACTCACCTGACACTTGAGCACCTGGAACTGGCTGGGTCGAAGGCTACACTGTGTCCGTCACACCCCACACTCACTCACCTGACACTTGAGCACCTGGAACTGGCTGGGTCGAAGGCTACACTGTGTCCGTCACACCCCACACTCACTCACCTGACACTTGAGCACCTGGAACTGGCTGGGTCGAAGGCTACACTGTGTCCGTCACACCCCACACTCACTCACCTGACACTTGAGCACCTGGAACTGGCTGGGTCGAAGGCTACACTGTGTCCGTCACACCCCACACTCACTCACCTGACACTTGAGCACCTGGAACTGGCTGGGTCGAAGGCTACACTGTGTCCGTCACACCCCACACTCACTCACCTGACACTTGAGCACCTGGAACTGGCTGGGTCGAAGGCTACACTGTGTCCGTCACACCCCACACTCACTCACCTGACACTTGAGCACCTGGAACTGGCTGGGGTCGAAGGCTACACTGTGTCCGCCACACCCCACACTCACTCACCTGACACTTGAGCACCTGGAACTGGCTGGGTCGAAGGCTACACTGTGTCCGTCACACCCCACACTCACTCACCTGACACTTGAGCACCTGGAACTGACTTGGGTCGAAGGCTACACTGTGTCCGTCACACCCCACACTCACTCACCTGACACTTGAGCACCTGGAACTGGCTGGGGTCGAAGGCTACACTGTGTCCGTCACTCCCCACACTCACTCACCTGACACTTGAGCACCTGGAACTAGCTGGGGCTACACTGTGTCCGTCACTCCCCACACTCACTCACCTGACACTTGAGCACCTGGAACTGGCTGGGGTCGAAGGCTACACTGTGTCCGTCACACTCCACACTCACTCACCTGACACTTGAGCACCTGGAACTGACTGGGGTCGAAGGCTACACTGTGTCCGCCACACCCCTCACTCACTCACCTGACACTTGAGCACCTGGAACTGGCTGGGGTCGAAGGCTACACTGTGTTTGGAGTATCTGTGACCAGCGACAAGCTTCAAACTCTTGAACTGGTGGCCACACTCGGGGCATCCGTACCAGGTGTGTCGACCCTTCTCCACAACCTCACACTGTCCAACAACCTTGTCATGGCTACACTCAACTCTTTGAACACTGGAAGAACTTGAAGACTTCACCTTTCCCTTCTTAGCTTTGTGTTTACTTTTTCGAGATCTTTTTCCCCTCTTGTCCTCCGAATCTGGGGATTCATCATTGTCTTTGCCAACACTCTTCCAAATTGTCGGCATCCTTTTTCCTCTTTTCGATCTCAATACATGGACGACGCCTTCAACCTCTATTTTCCTATCTTTCCCCTCCTCACATCTGTCAATATCAACCCTGGGATCATCGTCAGTGACATTTCTGTGCCCCTGTTGCAAAGACTTATCTTCATGACTGTCAGTGTTGCTTGTGATGTTCCTAATGGTGTCCGCCACAACAGGGGTACTGACTGTAACACCAGACATATGTTCCCCTTCGTGACTGTCTACTGATGTAGCTCCATCAGTGTCTGTTGGATCCATGTCCATGGCTGTCTTGTATGCCTCCTGTACAATATCAACATCATGACAATCCATCCCTCCATCATTTGTCAACTTCATGTACATATTAGTGTTTTCCATCTTAACATTGTCTTCACCAACTGATTTTTGTTCATTATCCTCTTCAGATGTATTGAACTGTTTTGCTTTTTCAAATTTCATGTTATTTTTCTGCTGAATATTAATCCCATGTAAATTATATTCACTGTTATCTTCATTAATCATCTCTGTAACATTCACACTCGGTATACTCAGAATACTGACAGTCACATTTTCTGTGTCAATTGACCGGCGTAAAGTGGACGATTCTTGAACTTCATTTGCTGTCTGACTTGTCCTGGTCACTTGTAAAGACAGATTAGATCTTTCAGGTTTTACATCTGAAGTTGCCTCATCTTCGTAGGCTGTAGCTGGACTGTCTTTACCAGTTTGAGAGTCTATGAGTACATACTCCTCTGTAGCAGTATCCCTCACACACACAACAAGCTCTGAAGTCCCATCATGCAACACAAGTGGGTACACTGAAGATGCTGATTTTGTTTGAATGTTTTCACACATATGATTGTTAACCTGATCAGATTGAGGAATTGTACTGTTTTTCAAGTGATCAACCTGTTTCGTATCTTCCTCACTGATTACTTTCCAGTCTTTTAATATTTTCAAGTTATATGTATTGGTATCTTGTGGTTGTAGTTCACCAGTGTAAATAACTTTCACGACCATCTCCACTTCTCTTAACGTCAGATCAGAAAGCCACAATGTCCTTGCATTACTTTTCTTTGTAATTTGAGCTTTAAAAATCTCACTGCAAGCTGCTAGAACTAAACTGTGAACTTTCACCTCACCATCCTTGGCTTGGAGGGTCGTGTCACACATATACGACTCTTTGTAGAATACATATAGTGACCGCATAATGTTTCCCTGATAGTGTGAAAAAACAACCATTGTTTTAACATTCAGGAATCTGAAAAGCAAATTTAAAGAAATAATCTATAACATGATACAAAATTTATGAGGGAATAATATCAATAAGGCTAATTTTTTGTCACACCTTATCAAATTGATAATTTCATTACATCTGCTGTTCATGTCAAAATTCACATCATCATGATCTTGGTGATTCTGGTTTGCATATGCTGTAAATCTTTCATCAAATCCTCTGGCCTTCAGCTTGTGTTCATTTAACCATTTTCAACATGAAAATATCTTCGTTCAACATCCTTCAAATGATTTTTCTCCAGAGGAATTATTCCCATGAAACATGTTTACAGGAAAAAAAATGTCCAAGATATATTAACACTGGCACTAATCCCATGTGGAAGTCATCATGCTTGTAAGTTTAGCCTGACCCCTAGTGGTGGAACAACACACCGATGCATCAGTGGATCGCGATTTTCTCGATACAAGAATCAATCAGTCGTACACTAAGTAATACGTATTGATTCTTACCTTCAGTGTTTGGCGTAATAATTGTTACACTAAACCCTAATAAGAAGGGAAAATAAGTAGGATTGTCATCCATTGTGCCATGCTTACCACTGTCATCTGTAAATCGTCAGTGTGCCAGGTATTTGGCCATCCTGTCTATGAAACAATCGGCTCAGAGACCACAGACAAAAGCACATGCAAGTTTCAAGATATGTCTTGGATCGGGAGCAAGGTATCGTGATACATATCGGATCGGGAGCCAGGTATGTGATACGTCTCGAATCGCACTGTTGGTGTATCTGTAAGCAATGTATCCTACCTAAATATTATACCAGGGGAAGTTTTACACTAAAGTATAGTATAGGATAAGATTAAACACACTGGTATGGGTTCAAATTCACTAGGGAGAATCATCCTGACACTAGAGAATTTCATCCCCGGTATATAAAATAGGGTAGGATAATATTCACTCTTACATATCGTCTCAGCCCTACTGTCCTCCAGGTGTTCTAGAACTGGGTTAAACATGAAGTGAACAATCGGATGACTGGGATAAGAATAAATAACCTGAAGAGACTAACATATCATCTGACAACATCAATTCTGAGGCAGGAAAAACTGAGGTTATCATTTCACTACTGCCGAATTTGGTAACTATCCAAAAATGATCGTTGTCAAGTATTTGGAGGCGATAATCCCACGTTTTCACAAGAAGGGAAGTTTTTTCAGGGTGAACAAAACAGAACAATGTTTATTCACCAAGGCATAAACTGTTCTTCGTGTTATTTGGCACGATACTATTCTGCTTGAACATTCTCAAATTTGTAGTTTATGTTCCAGCGCATGTGGTAGCTTGAATACTTCCGGTAAGCTCTGGCTGGGCGAATGTCTATAGAAACATTCAAAGCGCTATTACTTTGACGCATTTTACATGAAGGACTCGTCTAACTAGTCTTTGAGTTATGTCCCTTCTCCCAGTCTTTGTCAAGCTCTGTGCCAGCGCGTGAACAGAGGATTCGCTGGAAAATATTTAACTTGAGATCTTGCATTGCCTTTTGAAAAATAATATTTCAATACTCCACCAAAGAAACAGTGTTTGTCAATTAAAAGAAGATGCAAATAACACCTAAGGTCACTATAACTGTAGAAGGACAAACGGGAGTCGTTGCCAAGCAGCCGTTGTGTTTGGAGATAAACACATGTTGGAGGTATCATCAAGAATGAAGTTTAAAATTAGAAGATTATTGAGCTAATCCGTCTTTCCAACTAAATACTACATTATTTACAAAATGCAAGGTATTTAAAAAAACACGATCAAATCGGACATCCTTTAGAATAGGAAACAATGGCCAACATAGTCTTACACCGCTGGTATGTTTAAGCCGACTTGTACAAACGTGACGGGGCCGTGTGTACGTGACGTTCTGAAGGGAAGAAGCCCACCAACAAGTGTGGAGAGAAACATTCCGACATCGGCTACAACAGGAAATGAACTAGTATCATGTTGCTTTTCTAAACACGACTGTCTGGGAGATCCCCGTTCAATGGCGTCCCTGTGGTCATATATGTGGGAGAGTATCCCAAATAGGTTGTAAATATAATAAAGTTCAAAGACAATACTCTAATTTGTCGAGCCTCTTCAGTTATCAGGAGAGACATACTAGTGAGCGGCACCCACAAAATCTAAAAAAATGACCCACTAATGCCCTGCTCATTTTCTGCAAAAAGATCATCTTAGGGAGTAAAACATAACGTTTACTCACTCACTTACTCAATATCAAGACTCGTCACGTACACGAGACATATGAGCGCTGTCCACTAGCCAGATGGCCCCATCCAGTAACCAAGGTCCACTTAGCCTATATTGTATATATTGCCGCATTTTCGTCTCGAAGTAGTTTGTCTAAAATATTCGTTATTGATTTATGTTTCAAGTATAAAGCATTCGCTCGTCACGCCGAAGACCCGGGTTCGATTCCCGATATGGGTACAATGTGTGAAGCCGATGTCTGGTGTTCCGCGCCATGATATTGCTGGAATATTGCTAAAAGCGGCGTAAAACCATACTCGCTCACGCACTAAATAAAGGTTTATTGATTGATCAAGCAAGTATTTGTATTAAATTATAGTTAAATGTATATGTGAAACCACCGCGTCAACATGAAGTTAAAACTGTGTGCAGATAATCACAGCTAGCTGTGTAATAAAATCGAGACAGTTTTATAATGACTGCAATAATGCGGAAGGTGTCAACGTGTATTTGCAGATGACACGGGATGGCGTGGGATCACAGTTCGATGGCGAGTCAGTTTTGGCTGTGTTTTCAAGTCGAGACAGAGTTTTATAATGACTGCAGTAATGCGGAAGGTGTCAACGTGTATTTGCAGATGACACGGGATGGCGTGGGATCACAGTTCGATGGCGAGTCAGTTTTGGCTGTGTTTTCAAGTCGAGACAGAGTTTTATGATGACTGCAATAATGTGAATATGATTCAGTTTCAAGGGTACAAAGTAAAAAGTGTCTTTTCATAATTTATGATATGACCTGTGCCCTATCACGTTCGGGCATCACTTCTGAGTGTAAGCTTCCATGTGTGGATCCAGCAGTTCCAGCACAGGTGTATACATAGAGAGGCGACGGGGTGGCCTTGTGGTTCGACTCCCTACATGGGTACAATGTTTAAAGTCCCCTGTCGGAAGCACCACAGTACCACCACACTCACTCACTAAATTATTTTTTAAACTATAATTTGTGTGTCTCGTGTTTAATACAGTGCATATTGAATTTCCAGATGAGAGTACATTTTAATTATAATATTTAAAAAATTCTAGCACTCCAGGACACTGGTTTACTGAGGCCTGCGACCACCGTGTCGCGCTAAGGTTGTTTTGTTTGTTTGTTTGTTTAACGCGGCACTCGGCAATATTCCAGCTGTATGACGGCGAAGGGTTCTGTTCAATATAACATACTTCGTGTACCTTTGAGAACAAATGTCAGGCTATTTCTAAGTCAATGACATCTGCTGTGTGATTATGTAATCACTCCCTGACATGCGTGGTAACGCAGAAGGTGTCAAGGTGTATTTACAGATGACACAGGGTGGCGTGGGATCACAGTTCGATGGCGAGTCATTTTTGGCTGACGTGACTGACATGTCAAGCGAGCTCGTGTCGTGGCCAGTTTGTCCGACGTCCGGCGTAAGCATCTTCTCATCAGAGACCTCTGGACAGATGAAGCTAAAAGTTCAATTGCTGGTCCCTACCAATGACACCCCGATTCGTTCAAGAGGTTCAATTTTGATTTTCAATATGGCTACCACGGCAGCCATATTGAAATTCTTATTCATGGACATTACTCAGACGATTTTGTTCAAATTTGAATGAAATTTGGTATATGTGTAGTTAGTAGTAGATATCAACATATATGGTTCGGTTTTGGGGGATTTTAAATTTTAACCTTGTTTTCGCCATGGTCTTAATTTTCTCTAAAAGGCATATTGGCTCTGTAAACGTCTCCTCTGAAACTGACAGACTGAGAAGGCTGAACTTTGGCATGTCTCTCCTTATCGACCGACCATTTGATATCCTGGTGGGGTCCCGGGATTTCCTCCTCCCCAAAATAATTGTCCCAGAAAATTCTTGAAAAGAATAATTATGCCTCAGACCGTTGACAAAAATAGAAATTGTCTGCCACAAAAATGACCTTGTTGCAATGCAAGTTGTCTTTCTTTTTAAAATACATTCATGATCACAGTTTTAATTTAAAGAATATCTGTTTCTGCAGCTGTAGCTGTCAAAAGTTTCTACTCTCAATACAAAATCCCAGAACCCCACCCCGATTACATTTCCGACCTTTGCTATTTTTCAAAATGTCTAGGGTATTTGCATGTGTCACGTGGTGCAGTTTTTGTATCAGTTCACTCACTAGTGAGTAAGTGCATGAGTTGGGTTTAACGGCGGTTTTAACAGTATTCCAGTTATATCTCGGCGTGTCAGCTTAATGTGGGAGGAAAGCCCGAAGTGATGCAGGTCTCAGACGTTTACTACTTCGGTGAAACCCACGAGCAAGGGTATGGTGCTGACAAACCTAGAAACATAATCGGGGCGAACCGGGATTCGAACCCATAGGTTTCTGGCGTTTCTGGCGTCCGCAACTCTGAACAGCGAATCTCGGCGCCTTAGAAGACTGGGTCACCCGTGCCCCCTTTACTCTCTTGGAATGTCACAAGGCAATGTACTCGCGACGGAGGCTTCATCTACTGAATAAAGACTTGAAATTGAACAAGGTGGTGACTCCTTTTGGGAATAAGAAGTTCAGGCACAACAAAGTTTTGATTAGACCAAGATTTATTTTGATTGTGTATATATATACAGGAACAGATGTGAAAAATGTGGTTTATCGAATACGACTTTCATTCCGTTAAAGATAACGTTACGTTGTTTTTCAAAGGTATAGTAATGTTAAATGTTTCTTCCAACTTCCCGGCCACAAATTTGAAAGCCGAATCCGCCATTTTCCGTATTGAGTCTGACTGAAGTCCGACTGACTGACCAAGCTTTGCCAGTTTGTCCAGCACAGAGGTCTGTCTAGGGGGCTCCTGAAACCCCTGTATACCTCCCGTGCTCACAATCACCAACACCACGAACAGGATCACTGTGGACAAAACAAAGATGGCGCAGGAACAAGGCAGACGACACCATGTGCGCGCCATTATCGCAAGCGCTCTGTCTGTTAGTCAGATCGCAATCATTCTAAAGAAACGTTACTAAATCATTTTTTGTTTTAAAAATGATCTGCGAGAAGTTCAAACCGGTGTCTGTTCGTTCCTTGATATACTGGAAATAACGACATGAAATGTGCATGACACGTTTTCACCGAGTTCTTTCCCTAGCTTCTGGTATATTCCGCGATAATTATTGCTGAGTTAGCAGGCTTTCTACAAATCAAGGCTCTTCGATCCACGCCAGGCGTTGTCGTCCAGTGAAAGGCTTGACATTCCTCCTGTGCAATGATATCAATACAAACAAAATGTGTTACATACATCAATATATACACACGCACTTTTATAGGCAAATGTATTCCGGTAATGGCAGTTAGTGGTGTTTTACACGCTTTAAGATATTCCATCCATTACACTAGAAGTTTGTTTCAACTTATTGTACAAATGATTGTTAGATCTCGTTAGTCGCCGCTTACAAGCATAATCCCTTGTTACGGCTAGCATGGGTTGCTGAAGACCTATTCTAACCCGAATCTTCACGGGTCTGTACAAATGTGGGGAACCGAAACCGGGTATTTTTTGGTTTGTTGTTTAACGCCGCACTCAGCAATATTCCAGCGATATGACGACGGTGTGTAAAATAATCGAGTCTGGACCAGACTCGATTATTTTACACACCGCCGTCATATAGCTGGTATTCGTGTGACGAACCACTTGGCTACCCAACCGGTGTGCAAGGATAGTTAAAAAAATATTTAAAAATTCTAGTTTGTTTTTCACGTTAGAGACGTCATCTGTTATAAAGCCTCGTGGATTGCATTTTATTTGTTTCTGTTAATGTCTTGTAAAAATGTTATCTCTCTAAATGTATTACACTTTCAGTGAATCCTGCGTTATTTCTGTGCCCCTCTTTAGTCTTTAAATCCATCAATAAAACACCTATTGTGACCTTGCAGTCGAACATCGATGTTTCAATCGTTCCCCTTTGTAGGTGGTATCCCCAGTAATATTGCTCAAAGCAGAGTCAATCTCCCTCACTCACCCGAGGATAGTTGTGCAGTACACACAACCATGGACTGTTATATCAGCAGCTGAAATTTTTCTGATTGATATCGGATGTAGGTAAAGTACTTGACATCATTTCCTTGATATCAGTTATCATACGTACTAATGGAATTTGGTTATTTATGCACGGGCGTTGGTTGAACCACGCTTGTTAGTAGATACTGTTCTACGATTGTAAGTAGATCATGTTCTACAATTTCTATTATAACACCCACCAAAACCACGGGGCTTAACTGACACGTGTAAGCGAGAATGAGTAAATGTTGTTTTACGCTAAACTCATTAAATAACATCTTTTACTCCGATGCTTTCTCAAGTATCCACTTACATTGCGGTCATTTTTGTCTCCATTCGGAATTACCCGTTTACTGCTAAGAAAGCTTCGCTTCGTCGTGTCAAGACATTGAAAACCACCCTGATTGGCTGATTAGAAGGTGCATCTCACGTGACATCCTGTGCAGGGTTTTGTCTCGTGTTGACGGAGATCAGTATCCAATCAAAGACGATCAACTGTAAATGTCTAGGTGGCCTGAGAACAATCGAATCTTGACAAAACTATTGGATGATAGCATGATCAACGATGATACATACAAGTCAGGTGACACATCAACCAACCAATCATACACATCTCCTACTTTGTGAATTTTACTGTCCACTCAGACACTAACATGTAAGTAGTCTTTAGTAACCAGTTAGAAATAATTTGCTAATTAGACTAGTAGATGGCTTATCATAGATTTACTAATCAGATAGTAGAGATTACTATCCATCTTTCAAAGAACTACTTGTTTTATGTAGTTCATTATGTAGTTAATGATACTAATTTGATAAGTGATATTTACTAGTCTTCTTCTCATAACTGCAACAGCATATTTACGTTTTACTACACTTTAAAATATGTTCGTGTCGTAGTCATTCTACGCTTTCCACAAGTAAATAACAAATGTCATAAACAATACAGGTGAAAGATGACATCTAATGATTTGCAGTGAAATTTAAGTTAGGGGTAGATCACTCAGATCCGATGTTTAACACACACACACACACACACACACACACACACACACACACCTCTCTCTCTCTCTCTCTCTCTCTCTCTCTCTCTCTCTCATACCTTGTCTGGCCTTGAGCTAAGTCGGCATGACCTAGTTAAAACGGCCACAAGCGTTGTGAGAGGGTAAGTGTTTATCTTGCATAAAACTATCCGGGGTATCTTGTGAAAATAGGGTCAAGGTTAGTGAGAACACTATATGTGAAGGACGGTGGGCCAGTTTCATGCTGTAAAGCGCCCAGGTCTGTTAAGACGTCAGTTGTATAGCTGTAATAGTGATGGTGTCATGCGATCTGGTTGGAATTCGGTCACACACACAGTGACGTCATATTAATTTCTATTTGACGGTCTCCGATTACAACGATACTCCATTATCATTAACGTCTGTAAACTAATTCAGCTCATGTTTGTGGCCATCTTCCCGAGGCAAGGGAGTTAACTGACCTTAAAAGTCCATTTCCACCCTTGCCGAACTAGGGTGGAAATCGTGGGCTCGATCGTAGCGCCATCAGTGGCTATTACAAGTTATGTCCCTTCTAAGACTCTCCTGTTGACCAATCAGATTCCACCTCTCGTATCACTTGCATTTGCTTCAAACAAAATGGCGGCGCCTAGTCAAGACGATCTGATCAATAATCAAGATCTATATTGTGACAAAACGGGTCTTACATCGCGAAGTGCATCATATCACGTGTGCATTTTGATTAAAAACATGAAAAGATTTGGAAAATATCTGTTGACAACGAGTTGGCGGTGGACATGCTGTGCAAATATTGCAATCGACCAAAATCTGCACGACAGTTTACGAACCGGATTTCGATTTCGTTGCGCGATTTTGATTGGACTATGCATAGACTCGTTAGTCCAGCATAAATGTAACTCCATAATACAAGCCTAGTTCGGCAAGAGTGGAAACTGGACTTTTATAGTCAGTTAACTCTTTTGCCTCGGGAAGATGGTATGTGGTTTCAGCTGTGACAATCCTAGTAGACCGGTAGAAATTGACATCATAATAATGTTAATTAAACCTGGACATTTAGTACAAATAATTTGCAATGCAATACAAAGGTTAGCTCAGTTCAATGAAGTCTGGGGAAAAAAACAACGTAAATCAACCCTGGGGAAATGTGGGGGTTTTTTACCACTGAAAATGTTGAAAATGCTGAATTCAGGATGAAATGATATGAGTAAGGGTGAGGTGATACAACAAGTAGTATTGCTGTCATAGCAACATACAAGATGGGGGATGATGTGACAGAAGTTTGCTGGCGGTATTTATGAACTAAGTACAAAGCCATTTCATAATTCCCAATGAAAAGAAAACGAAGAAATCGCCGGTAGTTCAAAACCATTTTCTTTCAGTTTGGTATTTCCATCGATTACAGCCAAGGCAAGGCAAGGCATGGCAAGCATGGCAAGGCATGACAAGCATGGCAAGGCATGACACACTGTCAACACACGGACAGCACGCCGATACATTAAAAAGTACTCATGTTCTATTGTGGTGTGGTTTTACTCCAGAAATATTCTGTCATGGCCTTGGACTTTACATTTGTACATTTGTAAACGTGTACGGAATCGAACCCGGTCTTCGGCATGACGAGCGATCGGCTTAACCACACAAGACTACTGATATAGATATCGACACATGATGATGATACACAAGCCTGGGATGTGTCGTAGCACACGAGTTTCTCCGGGTTTCTGCATACAGGTGTAGATAGCGAGCTGTAGATAAAACGGATATCCAGTGACTACCTAATGTCGACCGACTTGTTTGGCAACATAGTTATGTATAAATATAACCTCAATACATATATACATACAGTTCATCTGTGCTGTGTGCCGTAGCTCAATGGCTGTTTATATGTGCGTCAGCGTGTGTCTATTTGATGATTGTGAGTAAGGTGTTACTGTGTGTGCGTCATTGTCAGGTTGCCCTCTGTGAACGTTTAAGCAAATAATGCCACTGTGTACTATGATTGTTTAACTGATATTAGATGACGACCACAGATTTCTGACTTTCGGAGAAAATGATTAGAAATAATGATTAAATCCGTTTCAAAGCGCGTGTATACTACTGTGCAATGAACCGTGCTTCATCATGTTTTCATCAGTTTCAAAAGTCAGGTTACAAAAAAGAAATATTAAAAAATAAAATATTTTATTTATGAAACGATGAAACTCTACAGTTCCGACAAAATTGTATTGTGAGTGAATCTGGTTTTATGCCGTTTTGAACAGTGTTTCAGTAATGTCAGGGTGTTGCAGCTTGATGTGGGAGGAAGCCCATAGTAATGCAAGTTTGAGACCTTTACAAGGGACACCCTGCTGACAATACACGTGAGTGAGCGAGTGTTTGACACCGCTTCGAACATTACTCCATCTCTATCTCGGCGTGTTAGCTGGATGCGGAAGGAGAGCCCGAGGGGATGCAGGTCTTAAACGTTAACACGAGCACGGACATGGTGCTGACAACAGTAGAAACACAACCAGCCGCAAATACTGATGGCAAACAAAGAGTTAACAAATAGATGTCTCCCCCCTGTCAAAATGGATCACTGGTACGTCATGTTTGTTGTAAGAGTCCACTAAACTGGGTATCGGATGGTCAGGGTCTGTGACGGTATACCTGGTTCAAACTGGATACAGCTGGAAGATTGCAGATTGCGACGTGAAACAACATTCATTTATTGATATCACAAATTCAGTTATTTTTAGATATCTATACTGAACCGCAGAAGAAACGTCACCATGGATAGATATATGAGACCTTATTTGTCCAAACACTGTAAACATACTTTGAGACATATTAAAAAGATGAAACTTGGCAAAACTGATCATCAAGGCTTAAATTAAAGTGTCAAATGTTCTTAAAGTTAAACACAACACTAGTCTTTGAGAAAATGGCATCACAAGACAGTATCTCGTGTGTCCGCTATGTGCATTGATGACTGCCGTGCAACGTCGATACATTGCATGAATGAGGCGGTTGATGAAGGCCATAGGCAGTTGTCGGCCTTGGTCGACGTCATTCATTTGAATCTTGTCCCACAGGTCCACTGCATGATTCTGATGCCATTCTGCTGGAGGAAGTCTCTTGTTGCTCTCGTAGTGTGGGCACGGGCGTTATCATGCTGAAACTCGTGGTTGCGGCGACGTGCCAAATGATGTATGGCGTGTGGTCTCAAGACTTGATCAATGTACCGAGCTGCTGTGACACCATTGACTCTCCCTGGGCCGATGTTCTGGAAGACCACAGGGCCGACCCTCTGTGCAAGACCAATTCCACCCCACACCATGATGCTCGGACCACCCCACGAGTCTCTCTCAACAACACAAGCATCCGAATAACGTTTCCCACGGCGTCGCCAGACTCGCTCTCTCTCTCTCTATCTCTCTGCCATCTGCTTTTGAGATACAGTAACGGCTCTCGCCTGAGAAGAGGACTCTTCTCCACTGCTGGTGGCGCCAATGCTGGTGCTGTGTTGCCCACTGAAGACGGTCCCGGCGATGACATGGTGTCAGAATGTGTCCTCGGTGTGGCCTGTGACAGTGGAGGTGTCTGCTCGTCAATCGTCGACGCACGGTGTCCCCACTAATGTGTCGCTGTTGTGTCACCATGATCTGTCGAGCAGTTTTCGCTGCAGTAACAAAGTGATCTTGAAGATGCTGTCGCACAATCTGACGATCCTGACGTCGGATGGTGACCCTTGGTCTTCCACGTGGTCGGTCATCTGTAGTGTTGGTGGTCTGGTACCGTTGCTGGAGCCTGCATATGGTCCTTACGTGGACTTGAAATGCATTGGCTACTTGCCGGGCGGTTTGTCAAGTTTGCAATCGTCCAAGGGCTTGGTGTCGCTGATTTCTTGTCAATCTTTGCATGTGGTAGCCATTCAATAACGAATGAATGGATTTTTACAGGGCAAGAAAAGGGGGAACGCATGTGCATTTCAATTTGCACGGAACTCGCGTGCATCGGGTTACCATGGCCGTTGTCGTTATGCGTTTGGGCGAACGGTTTTATTGTCATCTGCTTTGTTTTTTTATCATCAAATTTCTTTTTTCTGGACAAGGTAATGTTAAATTTTAGAAACTTTGACAAAAATTACCCAGATATTTAAATGACAACTTTTCATGCAATGTTACTTGGGGTGACGTTTCTTTTGCGGTTCAGTATATAAATCGACCTGGTGTTGGCACAATATATAAATTGGGCTTATGTTATGTCGATTAATTGACGAAAAATTATGAATACCGTGTCCATTTCCAATGCTTAATCGACTTCCTTAGACGGAAAGTGACATGTCAGTGCTTGATATGTTTATAGTTATCTCTGTCATCTTCAGGCCGCATACAGGATGCATGTCAAGCACGTGCTTCCCTTAGTTTCCACCTGTTTCCTTGTTTCTCTTCATCAGTACAAGTGAAGCTGTGACCTTGGTATCAACACGGATGTATTCAGCCATACACATATATTTTCTTATAATAAAGTACAGTTATATACATTAATATATATGTGCAAATCCAGTATGGAATATCTACGATTTAGATCAAGTTGTTATTTCCAAAGTAATGTAACAAGTCTAAGTAATCTTAAGAAACGTAACGTTACACTAAAACCGGACAAGAGTTTGTTTGTTTGTTTATATATTGATAAATCTTCAGCAACCTATGCTTGTCGTAAAAGTCGACTATGCTTGTCGTAAAAGGCGACTAACGGGATCGGGTGGTCAGGCTCGCTGATTCGGTAGATGCACCTCAACATATCCCAGTTGCGTAGATCGCTGCTATTGGTATCAATCACTAGATTGTCTGGTTATCTCTCAATTATTTACAGACCGCCTTCATATCGCTGGAATATTGCTGAGTGTGCGGCGTTAAACAACAACAAACACACCTATTCAATCCTGGGTGAACAGAGGCATATTACGAACACAGTCACTAGCCTAAAGTGACACCACACGTGTTACATGTTCTTCAGAAGCTCTCAGGAGTCAAGCTGTGCACGGGACCACGTGTCAACTATTGCGAGCATAAATATTGTTTCCTCGAGGAAACTCACTTGTTTCACTTGTACATGCGTGTCCAAAAAAGGGCGCAAATTCATTATCCCTGGCACATATAGGGACATCTAACCAGAAACTGTGATATAACATTCAGTTTAGAGGAATGCGAGGTTAAAAATTCCATATTTCACTAACCTTGTATACAGCAATAATCTAGGCAGCGTGACTGTATGGCGGCATTGTCTACAGATTAACCCCCTGTAGATTTAGCAGATGTAAAGACTGTTCTTGTTTCCACGGTCAGGGGACGTGCCATACAAAGTCCGGACAATTACACCCTGTACTGGTTCAGTCCTCGTTATAGTTCTCGGATACGTCGGAACTATATAGGTCTTCATATGCCAAGTGAACTAAAGAAAGTGTGTATTTTAATTACCAAGATGTTCTTTCATAGCATTCATTGAATCACTATTGGAGCTGAGATTTTGAAATAATCCCTAAATATTCGAGTTACCTCAAGAGAAAAACAGTCCTGTAAATATCATTAACTTTTTTAGATTGTCTGCAACATGCATTATGTGTTAAGAAGTAAGACGAAATGTCATTCTTGATGCTATTTTCTACCACGTTCGTGCTATTTGTGTTGCGTTGTGATGAAGTGGGACGATCTTGGTCGTACAAATGTCTCCCGTCGGCCATGCATTTGTATGTTTATGTCGTGTTGTTCTGTGATACGATTATGTCTTGTAGCTGTATTGATGTACGTCTATATGCTGTTCTGTGTATAGCATTACTGTATGTCGTGTTGTTCTGTGATACGATTATGTCTTGTAGCTGTATTGATGTACGTCTATATGCTGTTCTGTGTATAACATTACTGTATGTCGTGTTGTTCTGTGATACGATTATGTCTTGTAGCTGTATTGATGTACGTCTATATGCTGTTCTGTGTATAACATTACTGTATGTCGTGTTGTTCTGTTTATAGAATTACTGTATGTCGCGTTGTTCTGTTTATAGCATTAATGTATGTCGTGTTGTTCTGTTTATAGCATACTGTACGTCGCGTTGTTCTGTTTATAGAATTACTGTATGTCGCGTTGTTCTGTTTATAGCATTAATGTATGTCGCGTTGTTCTGTGATACGATTATGCCTTATAGCTGTATTGATGTACGTCTATATGCTCTTCTGTTTATAGCATTACTGTATGTCGCGTTGTTCTGTTTATAACATTTCTGTATGTCGGGTTGTTCAGTTTATAGCATTACTGCATGTCGGGTTGTTCAGTTTATAGCATTACTGCATGTCGCATTGTTCTGTTGATAACACTGTTGTGTGTCGTCTTGTTCTGTTTATAACACTTCTGTATGTCGTGTTGTTCTGTTTAAAGCATTACTGCATGTCGTGTTGTTCTGTTTATAGCATTACTGTATGTTGCGTTGCTCTGTTTATAGCATTACTGTATGTCGTGTTGTTCTATTGATAACACTACTGTGTGTCCTGTTGTTCTGTTTATAACACTTCTGTATGTCGTGTTGTTCTGTTTATAGCATTACTGCATGTCGTGTTGTTCTGTTTATAGCATTACTGTATGTTGCGTTGTTCTGTTTATAACACTTCTGTATATCATGTAGTTCTGTTTATAACATTATTATATGTCGTATTGTTCTGTTTATAGCATTACTGTATGTCACATTGTTCTGTTTATAACACTACTGTATGTCATGTTGTTCTGTTTATAACATTACTGTATGTTGCGTTGTTCTCTTTATAACATTACTGTATGTCGTGTTGTTCTTTCATACGATTATGTGTTGTAGCTGTATTGATGTACGATTATATGCTGTTTTGTTTATAACATTACTGTTTGTTGCGTTGTTCTGTGATACGATTATGTCTTGTAGCTGTATTGATGTACGTCTATATGCTGTTCTGTGTATAACATTACTGTATGTCGCGTTGTTCTGTTTATAGCATTACTGTATGTCGCGTTGTTCTGTTTATAACACTTCTATATTTCGTGTTGTTCTGTTTATAACATTACTGTATGTCGTGTTGTTCTGTTTATAACACTTCTGTTCGTCGTGTTGTTCTGTTTATAACATTACTGCATGTCGTGTTGTTCTGTTTATAACACTGTTGTATGTCGTATTGTTCTGTTTATAACACTTCTGTATGTCGTGTTGTTCTGTGTATAGCACTTCTGTATGTCGTGTTGTTCTGTTAATGACATTACTGTATGTCACGTTGTTCTGTTTATAACACTTCCGTTCGTCGTGTTGTTCTGTTTATAACATTACTGTATGTCGTGTTGTTCTGTTTATAACACTGTTGTATGTCGTGTTGTTCTGTTTATAACTCTTCTGTATGTCGTGTTGTTCTGTTTAAAAACATTACTGTATGTCGTGTTGTTTTGTTTATAACATAACTGTATGTTGCGTTGTTCTGTTTATAACACTTCTGTATGTCACGTTGATCTGTTTATAACACTTCTGTATGTCACGTTGTTCTGTTTATAACACTTCTGTATGTCGTGTTCTTTTTATAACACTGTTTTATGTCGTGTTGTTCTGTTTATAACATTACTGTATGTCGCGTTGTTCTATTTATAACATTACTGTATGTCGTGTTCGACGTGTTGTTCTGTGATACTATAATGTCTTGTAGCTGTATTGATGTACGTCTATATACTGTATGTCGTGTTGTTCTGTTTATATCCATTCTGTATGTCGTGTTGTTCTGTGATATGGCTTTATGGTGTGCTGTGTTGTTTATGACAGGTCTTGTTTGAATTTATGATACGAGTATATGTTTTGGGGTTTTTTTCATTCGTCTATATGGTGTGTTGTCATACGTCTATATGGTGTGTTGTCATACATCTATATGGTGTGTTGTCATACGTCTATATGCCGTGTTGTCATACGTCTATATGGCGTGTTGTCATACGTCTATATGGTGTGTTGTCATACGTCTATATGCCGTGTTGTCATATGTATATATGATGTGTTTGGTTGTCATACGCCTATATGGTGTGTTGTCATACGTCTATATGGTGTGCTGCCATACGTCTATATAATGTGTTGTCATACGTCTATATAGTGTGTTGTCATACGTCTATATAGTGTGTTGCCATACGTCTATATGCTGTTTTGTCATACGTCTATATGGTGTGTTGCCATACGTCTATATGCTGTTTTGTCATACGTCTATATAGTGTGTTGTCATACGTCTATATGGTGTGCTGTCATACATCTATATGGTGTGTTGTCATACGTCTATATAGTGTGTTGCCATACGTCTATATGCTGTTTTGTCATACGTCTATATGGTGTGTTGTCATACGTCTATATGATGTGTTGTCATACGTCTATATGGTGTTTTGTCATACGTCTATATGGTGTGTTGTCATCGGTCTGTATTGTGTGTTGTCATACGTCTATATGGTGTGTTTGGTTGTCATACATCTATATGGTGTGTTGCCATTCGTCTTATATGACAACACACCCGGGTGGCACTGACATATTGTCACAGCATCGATGTCTAGACGTGGCCCCCTTTACCATCTCTTGACGGGTAAAGTCCTCTCGCCCCACGGGTACACTTTGACGTGATGTCCCAAATGCATTACAATCATCGTTTTGCAGTTGTTGCTTATCTTTCAGCTGAAGGCAATCAATGGCGACATATATAGCCTATATTAGTCAAAGCAAACCGCTGCATGCCGTCGCCTCCAGCTCTCAGTCCCGGGTAAAGGGCGCCACACATACATCAACCTTTTAGGATCAATTATCGACACGATCCTACAGCGACACTAAGAGATTGTGTGCACGACTAAGCAGGGTGTGTTATCATCGCATGTAGCACAGTCAGCACTATTGTGAGGACGACTTATGCACCCAAACACCTTGCAACTACCGCGTGCAAGGCCCCCGATTTTTTATCTGTGAGGTGTGAGCAGAGACCATCTATTATATGGTCTCTGGTGTGAGCTTATACCTCCGACGTGCCAACCAATACCCTCCTTCTCTCTCACAGTTTTCTTACTGCTGAATTAATCATGTTTGTCATGTTAAACATGAATTGGGTGGTCGGATGTGTAGTTTATCTTTGTCTCTCTGTCTCCTCCCTCTCTCTCTTTCTTTGTCTCTCTCTGTCTCTCTCCCTCTCCCCCTCTCTCGCTATCTCTGTCTGTTTCTGATGCTCTCTCCTTGTCTCTCTCTCCCCTTTCTCCTCTCTCTCTCTCTCTCTCTCTCTGTCCCTCACTCACCATCTGTATGTGTGCCTCCACTATCGCACTGTCACCTTTTTGTGTGTGTGTGTGTCTGTCTGTCTGACAGTGTGTGCATGTGTGTCTGTGTGTGTCTATCTGGTCATCTCTCAATCTGTGCCACGGTAGTTAATTACCCGAGTACATCAACAGCCACTGCTAGTGAGATTCAGTCGGTGTCCCCGGGCAACAGTCGACCCAGTAACAGTCCGATATACCCCCGGGGCGTCCCCCACATTAAACAGAGCGGCACGGCTACGGACTCCCTAGCCACATCACACACGACATAGTACACGCACGTCTGGGAACGTCAACACATGACAACAAATTCTCCAGATTATCAGATCCCTGTACTGACATGTCGTCGGAACACTTCCAGTGACCAACCACTAGGTGCGGTCGATTATTACAATTCGAGTGATAACATATCATAACAGGTAACCAGTGTTAATCAAGGATGACTTAGGGCAGTATCCGAAATATAACGTATGCATATAATGCAACATTAGACATAATGGTCGCAAGGAGACGGAGCCATTGCTATAACACATAACTATGAGATGTTAACAACTGCTTCATTGCTTGACAAAGCCGCCATTGTACCTTTTCTATTTGAGTGAGTGAGTGAGTTGGGTTACACGCCGTTTGTAACATTATTCGAGTTATATCACGGCGTGTCAGAGCCCCCTTTCTATTTACTGCATGTAAAACGACAAGGAAGTTCACACTAACGCTGATAACATCAAACATGCATAATCATCATCAAAGTTGCATTATTGATTCTAAAGTATTTATATCGACAATCTAAAGTTAAGTTTCCCTGTCGCATATCAGAACAGAATACACATATACTCTCAATACCTAGTTCATGATAGTCATTAAAAATGCATTTTTTCATGACTGAATCAATAAATGAAACTCCTGATTCGTTTCGGGCGATGCACTTGAAGGCTGCAAACTAGAGTAACGCAGCCCTGGGTTTCAGTAGGTATGGACACTTAGGTCAAACGAAGTAGGGGCGGTCGGGCAGCCTAGTGGTTAAAGCGTTAGTTCGTCACGCCGAAGACCCGGGT